CCCACTGCCTCATCGCCTTTGATAATGTCCACCGCAGTTGTGGACGAAACGTCAGGAAGAAATTCCCATAGACCACGGCTTCAAAGCCCGGAAAAGATTCCTAAACATGCAGAGTAGTTTCGTCTTCTAATTTGCAACCCCTGCAGGTCGGTTGATCGCTCAGTCCCATCCTGAAGAGGTGTTTTTTGCAGGGAGCGTGTCCTGTTAAAAAGGCTCAGGTTTATAATTGAAGGTATTAGAAGCAAAGCCGCCTAAGTGCTATATTTTGCCAAACCGACCAAGTGTTTTGTAATTGGTAGTAAAATCGACCAGGTAAAGGTAAAAATTATAACCTGACGGCCTCTTTTGGTCTGCAAAAAAACAATATACAGGATGGTTTTTTTTTATCTTGAAGCACTTAAATATTTCGGAAACGAGTGATCCGAGGAAAAAATGTTTCAAATAAGAAGTTAGTATCAGGGAGGGGGAAGTCAGATGTCGTGTCAGAAAAACAACGCCTACTTCGACCTTGTAGGCTAGGCGTACGTCAAGTGAGAATAATTTATGTAAAACATTTTCTTCGATTTTGACAGGTTAACAACATTTTTAAACAAAACAGCACTTGGGATGTTTTGACTTTGAATTAAAACAAATGATCAAAAACCTGGAAAACGGCAAAGCGAACATTTTTTTTTGAAAATTTTCGCAATGCAACTAAATTTACTCGTAATCTGAAAATAAATTGATGTAATTATTATCATGTTCGACATTTTCAATTTACTTACTAGCCTTCAGCTGAATTGCTGGCCGTTTGTTTTTTCGATTTTTGCGGATTGGCTTATGGGGCAGGTTCTTAAATTGATGGTACATTGGAACTATTAAATCTAGCAACTTTTGTAAATTCTGCCATTTTTCTATTTAATTTTTAGTGTTTCTTGAGGCTCTTGAGGCATTTTTCCATTTTTCTGACTGAATATGTTTGCTTTTTATTGCATGAAAATATCTTATGTCTCCATTGAATTCGCCGCCAACATTCGCAGCAGAGGGTAACACAATATCCCTAACACACAAATCTCCAACCAATAGAAACACTTTCGTATCCTCGTATAAACGGATGCATTGGGCATGGGGTTTTAGGCGGTTTTGCTTCCTTCCTTCACATGCAAAGGGTTGTGGGTTAATAACGCGACTTTTGTGAATAAAGCGCGCAATTTATGGTTTCAGATGCAAACGCCGAGCTTTGCGACTTGGTGGCAACCCTATCAGTGAGCCTGGATATTTCAAGTCGCGGCCTTCTGGGGGACGCATTGGGGCCCTTGCTCAAATCCCTCAACAACCAGAAGGCGCTCACGCAAATCAACCTCTCGGGCAACTTTCTCAATGGCCACGCAGTGGCGCTGCTTTGCTCCAGCCTGGGCACGCTCTCCAACTTAGAGGTGCTGAATCTGAGCGCGTGCAGCCTGCAAAAGGGCCACTTGAGCCAACTGGCTGGCGCCATCTCCTGCAATGCCCCGCTATTGAGCAAACTGAGCAGCTTGGACCTGAGCGACAATAATGCGCTTCAGAACGCCTGCCTCAAGGACTTGAGCGTCATCAGCAACAGCCTCAACTTGAAGCGGTTGAATGTCAGCAATACTGACCTGCGTGGTGAGCCGCAGGTTCAGCAAGTGCTATGCTTGACCTTCCTTGAAGAGCTCAATGTGAGCTATAATCAGCTGAGTGACAGCGCGTTGAGGGAGATGCTCGGCTGGCTTGATCCGCTGGTGCTAAGGGCGCTGAATGCCAGCAGAAACAGCCTCCAAAGGGGGCTGATGCAGGTGCTGGAGGTCCATCAAAGCCTGGCGGCGCTGCAACAAATCGACTTTGAATGCTGCGGAGTGGACGACTCGGATGTCTTCGCGCTGTTACGGTAAGTGTTCTGCTGCTGGCAACTTCGCATTGGTGATAATTGAACATTTCCAGATCTGCTCCGAACATCACACACGTAAATCTGTCTAACAACCCGGACCTGACTTCAATATCATTAAGGCGGCTTCTGGAACACGCCACACTCAATTACGTAAACGTGCAGTACTGCGACAGCATTTGGTCCTACTTCGACACGAACGCGGCCGGCTGGGGCATTGCGCTGGGCAGAAAAAGCCTCTGCAAGATCGCAAAGGGGCCCCAGACGTACCAAAACTGTCTCATCCAAGTGTTTGAGGAAAAACACAAAGACCACCTCAAGGTAGACGTTTCCTATTACGCCCTCACTGTGACTATTAACTGAACAGCGGGTGTTTCCCATGCTTATTAAAACAAGCGGGTGTACAGCAAAATATATTGTATCAAAATAACACTAACAACTATCGATTGCCTTACGAATCCATTGTATCACCCAATTAACTATTTACAGCCCGGGCAAATTTACAGAATAATTACAGTCCTTACTTTGGTAGATTTATGACTATTTTTCTGACCTGTGCCTACTGCTGCGACAGGTAAATCGACCTGCCCCAGATCATCTTCCCATTCAGTTCCTCTACAGCCCTCTGCGCGTCGTCCGGATTAAAGAAGCTGACTTTCGCCTCGGCACTCGGGGTGTTGTCGGGATTGTAGCGCCTGCTCACGTTATCCGTCGAATTGTAGCCTTCGAAGAAGTCGAGAATCTCATTGGTGCCCGCCTTGTACGGTACATTATCCAGGAAGACTGTACATCCGGGGATGTCTTCGGGGTCAGGTGTTTCCGGTCGCCGCGGCGGGAATCGAGAAGCGGCTCTCGGCGCACCATAGTTACCGCGGGGCGGATAGCCGGGACCACCGGGTCTTCCTCTAAAGCCCCCCCGCGGAGAACCGAAAGCACCCCGCCCATTAAAACTCCCCCGATTGTTAAAGAATCCACCTCTGCGCCCATTAAAGGCATTCCTAGGCGCCTCAAAGTACATCTCGTCATCGAAGGATGCGTGGCTTTTTTCGGCTCTATCGGGTGGGGCTTCAAAGCGATTGCTCAGCCCGACCTCACGCTGATTTTCCACCTCCTCTAAATCGCTGTTATCCTGCCGCGAACCGTCTTTGGCCTGCTCCGGCTCGCGCTTTGTAATGGGAGGCAGGGGCGTGCCGGGCGCCAGCGTCTGGCCCGGCCCCATTCCCGGGTGGGGCAGCGAGCTGCCAAGAATCTTCTCCATATCGCTGCGTGCGATGGGCGTTACTGACACCACGTTGGCACCCAATGTCACTTTGTCTTTGGCCACGCCCTTGCTGGCGTCTTCGGCTGTCTCGAATTCGCAGTAGGCCAGCCCTGTGAAGCCTGCGTTGTTGCTGACCAGGTGGATTTTCGTCGGAATGATCCCGATGTCGCTAAAAAAGTCGGAAATGTCGCGGTCCGTTGTCTTGGAGGGCAGATGCGACATGCTTAGACAGTCTGTGCCTGCTGAAGATATTTACATGAACCACTGAATTAACCGATCGACCATCTGCACTTACCAGCGGGCTGCATTTGGACGGGCGAGTCACAAGCCCCGGGGTTTTTCAAGCTGCCTTCCTCAAAGAGAGACGTTTGAGGGTTGGCCTCGAGAAACTCCTCATCTGTACACGCTTTCACCGTAACCGCCTTGCCTTGGATGACGTGATGAGAGGTTTCTTCCAGCGCCAGCTTTGCCACCTCCTTACTGCTGAACTTCACGTAGGCCACGTTGCCGCCCTTCGGCTTGAAGTTCAAGTGTAGAGAAATGAGCGGATGCTGCGAAAAAATGTGCAAAATATCCTGGTCCTTAACAAACGTTGGCAGGTCTTCGACTTTTAGGCAGGTGAAGTCTTTGATCAGCGCCTCGTTGGATAGGAAAAGCTTGGTATTGCGCAGCCGATTCAAGTGGTCCTCCGGTGGATTGACGTCGTCGATGCGCGGGTTGTAGCGATCGATCGCCTCCTCAAACACCTGATCCGAGATGTGCTTGATCTTCAGTTCCGCCTCGTTCAACTTGGTTCCATTCATGGTCAGCGCCTTGTTCTTGTTCAGCATGTCGCGGAACTGAACAAAAGACACGCCGGTCTTGCGGCCAAACTCATCGTTGATTATCTTGATGCCGCGATAGTTGATGCTTAAACCAGAGAAAAAGCGCCGCAGGTCACCGTAGGAGCCGTAGAAAGGCTCCAGAGATACGCAGGCATCCACTGGAACATCCACGTCCTCAAAGCGGCTTCTGCGGCCGTTGCCGCGTTTGTCCATAGAGGCGCGGCTCTTGTTGCGGAAATCAATCGCCTCCATAGGTGTGAGCATTGAAAGGTTCAAGTCGCGTGAGGCCTGGTGGGTTTTCGCCATCAAGCTGTCGAATGAGGGCGGATTAACGGGCCAACTGTCCATCGCGTTGGCCTGCAAGCTGGCAAGACCGAACCCCGCCCCTTGCAGATTGGCCAAGTTTGCCACCAAGTTGGTCTTCAGGCCCCAGGGGGCGGCGCTGAGCATATCGCCGCCTCCCAAGGCGGGCGGCGGAATTATGTTCAAACTGGGCACCAATTGATTGGACCAGATTTCTGGCAGCAACTTTCGCTGGCTGGACTCCATTTCCTTACTCCTGGCCCTGGATGGAAAACAACCGCGTTGAGCCATAAAGTTCAAAACCCCGCCCCAAACCCTTGCTAACTAACCGATCTGTCCTCCGCCCATCCTTATCTCGGCTTCGGTTTCTGCTTCTACTCCTATCGCGGCCACGCCTCCTGTCTTTCCGATCGCGACTTTTGGACCGGCTGCGATGTCGGCGGTCACGCCGGTCACGCGATCTGTCCCTCCGATCTCTAGATTTGCTGCGCGACCGGCGCCTATCCCGCTTCCGGTCGCTGTCCTTCTGGATTTCAGGAACAGCGGCAGGCACCAAGGGAACGGCAGCCGGAAGTGGCGTCGCCAGCTATCAACACCAAAAGAAAAAACAGTTTACAACTGCTACAAGATCGCCTGCGGCCGAAACTAACCGGTTGCGTGGTAGAGGGGGTCGGTAACATAAAGGCGGCCATGCTCTGGTTGCGCGCCTGCTCGATAACGCGCTGCATTTCCGTCCGGCTGCTCAGCATCAGCTGGATCTGAATACCCTTGATTTTCATGTTGTTGCGCAGAAACGCCTGACGCGCATCCTCGTCGGTACTGCAAGAATAGTGGGGAAGATGTTTTAGGGTTAGTTTCATTTCATTGGATGTGGTACAGAGAGAAAAGGTGTTCGGTTCCAACAGTCAACACTAACAGACTCGCCGCTTTAGTGAGCTCTACTTTTTCCCATCCCCCCCCCGGGTTTCAATTTACGTATACAGGGCGTCTATTTGTGCAAAAACTTTGATTCTTCTGCTTATAATTGACCCAATCGTTTAATTCATTAAAATATCGAAGTTGTAGGTACTTTTCGATAAAAGCGGCAATGACGCATAGCCCAAAATATTTTGGGTCTCTAGAGTATAAAACGAGCAAACGCACTGTTTGATTAATCTGAAATTAGTCCTGTGTCTTATACGCCCTGTATATTCTATGCAAAGTTTGATTTAGCACATGGAAGTATCTTCTCCTTAAACACTCTGTATAAGTGTCTCTGTTGCAATTAGTTTCTCGAATATCATTGAGACACCCTGTATAAAGTGGACGACAAAGCAAAAGGAACTCTTGGGCTTTTAAAAAGACGGTTTCCATCCAGTCATGTACAGGGTGTTTCCTTATAAGCTTCCCGTATGACAAGTTTAGCTTCTACGTTCTTGCGCTTTTAAAGATTCTAGATTTTCCACGTTATCCTGAATGATGGTAAAAGTGGGCCACTCTGAACAGTTGCTTCGGCCAAAACAACAAACACCCTGTATAAAGCCAGCAAGCATTTCGCCAAATCGCGCAAAGACGCGAATAAAGTTCGGAAAAAATGTCGAAAAATTGTGACTGCGTATGTTTTGAAAACGTCCAATAAAATGACTCTAATTCTCTATTGAGCAGTGAAAATGACGTTTTTCTAGCACTACGGGTTTCAGAGCTAGAAATTTTTGAAAAAAAAACCGCTTTTAGAGTTATGAAAGATTCTCCATTGAACAATATCAACGACGACTTTCTCCCTGGACCGGATTTAGAGCTACGAATTTTTGAAGAAACCACCCTTAAAGACCAAAAGCGCCATTAACGATATGAAAAAACACGAGAAAACTGCAGTTGAGTATGTTTTAAAAACATGCAATAAAAATAATTCTGATTCTCGACTGAACAACACAAAGGACGTTTTCTAGCTCGACCTCATTTAGAGCTTCGAATTTTTGAAGACCCCACCCTTAACGGCTAAAATCGCTATTAACGATACGAAAAAACCTCAGTAAAAAAACAGCCTTTAAAGTTACGGAAAACCTACGAAAACCGCGGTGGAGGATGTTTTGAAAACATGCAATAAAAAGAACTCTGATTCTCGACTGAACAACATCAAGGACGTTTTTCTCGCTAGACCTGATTTAGAGCTGCGAATTTTTTAAGACACCACCTTTAAGGGCTAAAATCGCTATTAACGATACGAAAAAACCTGATTTAAAGCTGCGAATTGTTGATTAAAACAGCCTTCAAGGTTACGGAAAAACATCCAAAAAATCGCGGATGAGGATGTTTTGAAAACATGCAATAAAAAGAACTCTGATTCTCGACTGAACAACATTAAGGACGTTTTTCTCGCTAGACCTGATTTAGAGCTGCGAATTTTTTAAGACACCACCTTTAAGGGCTAAAATTGCTATTAACGATACGAAAAAACCTGATTTAAAGCTGCGAATTGTTGATTAAAACAGCCTTCAAAGTTATGGAAAAACATTCAAAAAATCGCGGTTGAGAATGTTTTGAAAACATGCAATAAAAAGAACTCTGATTCTCGACTGAACAACATCAAGGACGTTTTCCTATCTCGGCCTGGTTTAAAGCTAGGATTTTTAAGAAGCCACCCTTAAAGACTATAAGCGCTATTAATGATACGGAAAACCTGAGAAAACTGCGATTGAACATGTTTTCAAAACGTCCAATAAAAAGCCTCTTAAGGGTTGATTGAACAGGATAAAGGACGTTTTTCTAGCTCTACTTGTATCAGAACTACACATGTTTGAAGAAAAAAACGGCTTAAAAGCTACGGCAAAACGTGCGAAAAATCGCTGTTGAGCATGTTTTGAAAACATATTGCATGTTTTCAAAAAAGACGCTGATTCTCGACTGAACAACACCAAAGACGTTTTTCTAGCCCGGCAGATTCAGAGCTGCGAATTTTTTAAGAAGCCACCCTTAAAGGCTCAAATTGCTATTAACGATACGAAGAAACCCGAGAAAGCTGCGGTTGAGTATGTTTTAAAAACGTCCAATAAAAAATACTCGAAGTCTTGATTAAGCAAGATAAAGGACGTTTTTCTAGTTCTACGGGTTTCAGCTACAACATTTTTGAAGAAAAACCAGCATTTAGAGTTACAAAAAATCATCCAAAAAACCGCAGTTGAGTATGTTTTGAAAACATGCAATAAAAAGGATTCTGATTATCGACTGAACAGCATAAAGTACGTTTACCGGGCTCAACCTGATTTAGAACTACGAATGCAGTCAGCCTGAACGGCTAAAATCGCTATTAACGATACGAAAACAACCTGAAAAACCTGCGATTGAGTATGTTTTGAAAATGTCCAATAAAAATACTTTAAGTTTTGGTTGAACAGAATAAAAGACACTTTTCTAGCTCTTCTGGTGTCACAAGCTACAAATTTTTGAAGCAACAAACCGTAAAATCTAAAATAGCTATCAACGATACGAAAAAACCTCGATTGAACAAGATAAAGGACGTTTTTCTACCTCTACGAGTTTCAGAGCTACACATGTTTGAAGAAAAAACAGCCACTGAAGTTACGGCAAAACCTCAAAAAAACCGCGGTTGAGGATGTTGTGAAAACATGTAATAAAAAGAACTCTAATTCTCGACTGAACAACATGAAGGACGTTCTCCTCGCTCGACCTCATTTAGAGCTGCGAATTTTTTAAGACGCCACCCTTAAGGGCAAAAATTGCTATTAACGATACGAAAAAACTGCGATTGGGTATATTTTGAAAACGTCCATTAAACATACTCTCAGTCATGATTGAACACGACAAAGGACGTTTTTCTAGCTCTACTGGTGCCAGAGCTACAAATTTTTGAAGAAAAAAGCGCTTTTAAAGTTACGGAAAAACCTCTGAAAAACCGGCGTTGAGAATGTTTTGAAAACATGCAATAAAAACACTCTGATTCTCGACTGAACAACAAAGGACGTTTTTCTCGCTCAACCTGATTTAGAGATACAAATTTTTGAAGCAGCCACTCTTAACGGCTAAAATCGCTATTAGGGAGTTTTTAGGCCCCTTAATGGCAACACGTTTTACGTTATTCTGAGCATGCGCATTAGTAAAGAAATAACCGTTTACGTTATTAGGTGATAACGTGTTACTTTATTTACATACGAGTAGCGGTAACGTTAATAAGCATCACGTTAAAAAGCAGAACGACAGTGTTGACATATTTGACTTATTTCTAATATTATTAATAAAATAAGAAATCTTTGTAAATTTAAATAAGACTTTTTCATTGATTAGCTTACGCCATTATTGCGTCATTACGGATTTTATGTGGAAATTGTTTGTGCAAATTTGAACTTTGGTAACACTGCTAACATCGTAAGCACAGGTTCTTACTTCTAACCCATGACCTAACTATTTGATTTTGAATTTTAATTTAATATGTTCTTCTGAAACCTAAAATTGATAAGGCTATCTCTTAGCTCAATATTTTCCAAATGAAAAATAGCTCTTCGATTTGCAACAACAGGTAGGTCAAAGATGTCGTGTAAAATTAAGCCTCGTGTTAACTTGTGATCCACATCTCCCTGGTCATTTCGGTGCAGAAAGGCAGCTTCAATGTTTTCTTCCAACTTAGCCACTTTTTGTGTAATAACAATACAAACTTAAACCAGCTTTGAAACTTTTTCAAACAAATACGAGATAAGAAAAGAATAAAGTGAGGTTTATTTTATTAAGAGTGCAACCAACGTGGTATCAAAAACTAAAAAACGCACTTAACGTTATTTGCCTAAACACCTTATTTTTTTAACACTGCGCATGATTACAATAACGTTTAGCGTTTAAGGCCAACGTAATTTTAAGGGGCCTAAAAACTCTGTATTAACGATACGAAAAAACCTGAGAAAACTGCGGTTGAGTATGTTTTGAAAATGTCCAATAAAAAGATCTCGATTCAACACTATAAAGGACGTTTTTCTGGATCGACGAGTTTCAGAGCTACGAAAAAAAAAGCGAGTCTTCAAGGTAAATGTTGCCATTAAAATTACAAGAACTCGGAAAAACCGCAAAACCTAGGTTGCAAACTTCCTCATAAAAATATTTTTTAATCTCTAATTTTCGATTGAACATTATTAAGTATAATCTGATATAATATTTTAAATCTGATGATGGCGCTGTTGTCTTGCCGAAACGTAATGAACCAAACGATGTTTCAAAATTTTTACTTCACACTTTGACTGAGACCCAGGAAAGATAGGAATATCATAACAAGTACATGCCGTCACGAAAATAAATCAGAATTATTAAAGTATTTATATTAAAAAAATATCACAATAATTAAGGAAAATTTGCGACCGCGAATCGTCTGATATTTTGCAGTGAAAAAGGCTCTATTTTTCTATTGAATAATAAATAGGTTGTTTTTCTAGCTTGTTGGGGTTCACAGATTTGTTAATGCGTTCATAGACGTGAAAACTTGTCAATCAAATATTTCGGATTTAGTCCACCTAAGCCTTTAGAGAATAGGCTATTTCCCCAGACGATTCTCTGACGATGTCAGTCCCCCGCACTAGAGAAACGCTGGCCTTGTTGCCGCCGATATTCGCTCCCTGGATCGTCTTAGTCTNATTTAGTCTAGCCGGTTGAATAAGTCCCGAAGGCAGCCACCCTCGATGTTCGAAGTTATAAAAATTGAAGAACTTTCTAGCTACCTGAATGCAATGAAAGCATCGCCCAATTCGCCGCCCACAATGTGCACGCCGCCCTCTGGAATTTGGAGGCCGCTGAAGAACTGTCTGATATCCAGAGCGTTCGCCGCCCATGGCAGATTTTGCAGACGAATTATAATGCTCATTCTGGCTGCTCGATCTGGAAAGACACAAAAATACTTCCATGGAAATCGGTTGATTATGTACTGGGTAGGTTGCAGGATAAAGGGTTGGCCTCAAGAAAACCAACCTTTTTTGCCTGATTTTTCGCTCTTTATTCAGTCTACACGTTTACACAGTGACAACTTTCTTACATCTACTTAATTCACCATCCGTTTCAGCCAAAAAAAATCTCAACGGGTCTTTTTTGAAATCGCCCCGTATCAACACAAAGCGAATGTTCCAGAGCATCAATTAGCTCAGCCTCTGAAGATGACCCAAATGATCGAAACGTTTCAGAATCGACCTTTAGTCCAGTGACTGATAAAAAATCCAGCTGGAAATCCGGAAATTTCCAGCATTCACAGCTTGCCGGGCTCCTTCGGCTGGTCCCGTTCAGATGGGGGGAGCAAGAACAACCAGCCGATCGAAATCCGTTCTTATCTGGACAGCTCGATTACGAGGGCCGACTCGAAACTAATAAAATCGCTTCGAGTGTTTTACACATTTTAGCACCGCTTGATTTCAGCTACTAACAGTACAAAACTTGCAAACAAGTTAAGTTGCACAGTAGAAAGCATCAAGCAGATCAGAAAATTCACAGCTCTTCCTGAGTTGCTCCCGAACAAGACGGCTCAGAATGGGGACCTTGAACATTTTTTTAAATATATTTGCCTGTCTATAGAAATAGCAATATTTAATTTGCAATAAACAATTAAAGTTGTGATCGCTGGCTATTGGTCGTGAGGTCATAGCGCTGGTCGAATAAATTGTGTTCCCCATTCAACGACAAGCCGTATTCCCGTATTGCCTTCAGATCGAACGATCAGCGCTATGACGTCACGACCTATCCCGCGCGTTTAGAGTCGTTTCAAATGAATAGCCCGCGATCACAACTTTAATTGTTTATTGCAAATTAAATATTGCGACTTGAGGGCTGACATTTGGTATGCGCGATTTCTATAGACAGGGAAATATATTAAAGAAATAAAAAAATGTTCAAGTTCCCCATTAACTGTTTATGCAAGAGTCGATTTATACATTAGAGAGTCGTTTCAAGTGAAAATCCGATGTCATAACTGTATGCAAATGACAGGCTTTCACTGGTGCTTAAGATGACTTAACTTCCTTGAACCAAACGGTACTTGCTTTGCAATAAGAAAGTGGTTTCACAACAGGTTCTTATGCAATGGACCAGAAGATCCTGCCATCTGCCACCTTGTTTGTGGTCAATTTCAGTCGGTTTTCAGCAATCGTTTGCTATGAAGATGCAAATAAATCAACGATTTTATGCGCCTTGAAACATTTCAATAGTTATTTCTTCTCAATTAAATCGCATTTATTAATTGGATGTAGATAGAGATAAGTAGCCAAACAAATGCACGATTGGATACAAGTCTGGCCAATGGCAGTAGTTAGAGCCAATTGATTGGCTCAGTATTTTGATTGACTGGTTTAGAGGGACATACCAATTTTGGTTATTTCCAGAAATATTCCCCTAAAGGGTTACGAAAGCTTATGCAATTTATAAGGATTTTGCGCTGTTTTCGGGCCTAGGAAGCCATTTGCTTGCCAATTAAGTACGGGGAAGTTGCAACTAATTCCTCGCAAAAACTTCTGTTTAATCCATTAAATCCTCAGCCACTGACGAAGATAAATCAAGTCACATTTACCCCTTAATTTCTCTGAAACAATCAATACTGTAAACGCCGATTACACTTTAGATGCATAAATACAAGTGTTTTCAAAATGTTGTTTCCAACAATGTTTTTGTTCTGAAATTAGATTTTTTATTTTCCCCCTCTCTTATAGCTTGTGATAAATTTAGCCTGAAACTTGTTCAATAGTTTTGAATTTTCCCACAAGATAAGACTTGGTCCGCAACTTGGGACAGAAAATGTTGAGTAAAACCAGGCGGTTTTCTCCAATGTTGGGCAGGAAGTGAAATTCTGCAACAGTGTCTAAATTAGAAAGCTCCATCGGTCCATTCAGAACAGCAAACAACAACAAAAAAATGCCAAATTCTCCACATCTCTTGCATTGTAGTCCCATAAATATCCACGACGCCGTTTTCCATTTAAAGCAATTCAAAAAATTGACAACGTTGCTCATAACGCACACCCTACCGCCGGCTAGAAATGGTTCAATTTATGATTGGATCTCCCTGTTCATATGTTGAGCAGCTATGCTATACAGGATGATTTAAAATTGGCGTCATTCCTTTCACGAGAACAACGCAAAAAATGTCTTTCACCCGGAAAAGTTTAGCCCTGAAAATGCAATAGATTCAGTCACCAATCGTCCACTGGCACACTAGTAACAGTGTTTGATTTGACTTGGAGAGTGTTGGAAGATTTTTTTACGAACAAGCACTGCGGCAACCATGCTTCATGGCAGACACTTGATAGAACATGTCAGCGTATTTGTGGTTAATTTTCAAATTGAGCTCCTCAAAAGTCCAACATCGTTGAATCTTCCACATATGGAGGATGGAAATCAGTGTGTGATTTAACACGACAAACGGAACGAATACGCGCTTACCTCAAAGAATGTCAAGACAAAGTGAGAGTACACTTAATTGCATCGGGCAAACACTAATTCTAAATGAGATTAACGCACATACAAGCGGATCGGTATTTTACATCCGTCAGGATTCGTCTGACAGTATACATTTAAAAGAAGGCAAATATTCAATTACATTTGTTCCGTTCTCCCGGTGACCAAATGCGTGCTTACCTTTGGGCTCAGCTGAATCTGATAGAAATATGCAACAAAATCAAGCATATTATTCTTGATCTGATTTTCTCCAGGATAATGTTCTACCGTAAGAGACTGTGCAGATTAGACACTTGTTGCAGTAAAATTTTATACAAAACACGTCATTTTATAGGATGCGCAGACCACAGATTATTGGTTTTACGTATTATGAAGTATCGTTAATTTAGGGACCATAACTTGGACCGGCATAAAAACCAAATCTGTTGACCAGTTCACCCGACGCAGCGCCTATTAACATGTTCCAGGCAAGTACGACACTTTAGGCAGTAAATTGATCATACCCCAATGTTTACGTTGAACCAAGTAACGCCGTAAAGACGATACGTTATACGCGCAAGCATATACAGAACCTTTTATTTTTGTTTTGTGTGCGTTATTGGCCTGGGTAACACTGTCTTGAGTTTCGCTTTTGAGTTGTTGCCGCTCTCTGAGTTCATGCGTGGTAACTAATCGGTTAATGAGTTATAACTCATTTTTTAAAGCGACCTTTATGAGGCCCGAGGCGGAAATTTTAACATCTGAAGAAAAAAGATTATCAACATTTTTTATGAGCAACGTTTTACCACTGACCAAACAACTGAAAAAAAGTCGCCTCATTTCCATAAGAAACGTTTTTGCAGGAACGAAACTGAGTTACTGCGCCAGAGCGTTGGGTTGGAGCACCACGCCACTTGCGCAGCACTGCGTCAACTCCTAAAAATTCACTGACTTACCCAGGCCTAGTGTGTTAGGCTAGACTTTATTTCGTCAAGAGGTTGATAAAATATGCAAGAAACAAAATTGCGTATAACGTAGACATTAAGAACATGAACAGTAGAAACTATGAACGATTATAAAGGGTGATTCAAAATTGGCGTTATTCCTCTGGAGGTGTTGTCTGGGGGTGTATTTGGAGTACAGAAAAATTAGTAAAAAAAATTAAATGTTATTAAAAACTCAGATATTTGAAAAAACTAGATCAGAAGGATGGCAACAATGTTTTTCAGGTAATCTGCCTAATTAACATTACGTAAACATCTGTTTCCTTGTAATTATTAAAAAGTCTGGTAACCATGCAAGACAATAACATGCGTTGATGTTAGGATAACGTTGTCACCTTGCGGTCAGTGCTGCGACAAAACAGCCCCCCGAGTGCTGCCATATTTTTGGGGCAAATGAGTGATATACCTAAATCGGTCACAACTGTCATCCAAACCCACCTGTTAAAGGTTATGTATCATTGATCAAATAAAACACAATTCTGTTGTTAAAACACAAGTGTTCCCAAGAGCAAAAAAGAAGTTCTGCCCGTTTCACTCCAAACATCTGTGTCCCAATCACTTCTGAGTCTGGACTAATATTTTGAGCAGCTTCTCGTGTTCGGTTAATTAACTGCTGCTCAATTTGAACCGGTGTTCGGAAGATCCGAGATTTAATGTGTTCTAGTGTCCTGTGCATATTACATACATGGTAGGAATGTACGCCCTTCCTCGGGGGAGTTATTGGGACAATTAAGTATCCGGTGTTTGGGAAAGTGCAGTTGTTGTGCAATGCTTCAAGTACTCCCGGAAGGCTCAACTGAATAATCTCCAATACTTGGTTTACATTTTTTATAAGGAGCTCCAAAATAAGCCACAGTTTGACAAATGCTTGTTATTATTGACAAAAAACATCATTGCTGCTTCGACTTTTCATCAAATAATCGTAGAAGAGTACCTTTTTAATATCAAAAATTTTCGAAATTTGACAAAAAGATAGTAATTTTTCTGTTCGAATGCTCAAGTAATCAAATAGGCTGCCAATCAAACGTGGAACCTTTTCAAAACAATGCTTAATAACAAAGTTGAAATTCGCTCATCAACTGTTAATATCTTCTTGAAATTTTCGAAAAATTTAAAAAATATATTTTTCTCGTTCTTCTCTAAGTGTGCCCCAAATATACCCTTAAAATGAATGGCGCCAATTTTCAATCACCCTGTACAGCCGTTCTTTCCCTCGTACACGGGAGTTTCTTCTTCTTTGTGTAAAGTTGGTCAGTTATGAACGCCCTAACAGTTGCCGCACTATGGACTCAAATAAGAATTTTTTTAAAAATAGCTCATCTTAGAAATTACTTAAAAGCCTTATTTTTTTTAATGTTGGCAGACTGATCAAGATTAATGGAAAATTGACAAATAATTATCCCATATATCCATTGATTTGTGGATAATACTCTATTTCTGGAATCTTTGAGGTTATAGGCCCTTAAGTTATTTCTAAGATAAATACGATCATTTTCCTGTTAAAAACTTTGAAGGTTTGCTATAAGAACTCGATGGAAAGTCGATTGACTTAATGTGAGTGACGACTTAATAATTGAATAAAAAACTTTTTTATTGAAGTTTTTCGCGAATCACTCAGCTTATACCTTGAAGTAAGGGAGAGAGGGCGAACTATTTCTCCTGCAGCCATTAAATTGCCCTGGAGAAATGACGATATTTTCATTCCATTTCAGCAAACAACAAAAAGGGACAATTCAAAAAAAGACACAGTCAAAAGCTAAACTCTTAAGTATATTAAAAATGACAATTAGAAAAAGGAATCCGGGAAAAGGTACAAAAGAACCCGCGAAGCACCTTAGAACGCGTACCGCGTCCGAATATCCTCCAGCTTCTTGGAGACCTCCGCCGCTGTCTTATCCAGATCGTTAGCAATGCTCTTCTGCTTGGCCGGCTCCAGCGAGTTGTACTGCTCGCACATGTCCCCATCAATCACATTTTTTACCGGAAAGTAGTAGCTGCGGAAAGACAAGTGATCGCGCCCACACAGCGGCGAGTTCTCGCTCCTCATGTGCATCTCCAGGTGCTGGAAGAAGTCGTGATCGTCATGGGAGGTGAAGGGCACCAAGACCCCCACCGTCCCCGACAGCGTGGTATAGATCAAACTCTCGCTGCCTCCCGGTATCAGCGTGGTTTTTTGCAGCCAAGTGACCGCCTCGCCTACTTGAAAGGTGGCGATCGTGTTGGCCTTTTGCGAGGCGCCGTTTAACAGCCCGCGGTCCCATAAGGCCTTGTTGCCCGTCGGATCCTCCTCCACATCGTCCGTCACATTGGGAGGCAGCCGCAGGATCGAAATGTTGCCGAACTTATCCGCAGTGGCAATCGAGTCGTAGTCCAGAATGCAGGTGCTGGTGATCCATCGGGGGTGCGTGTCATCAGCAAAGATAATCAGTTGATTCTCTGCGCGCTTGTAGCGCACCATGAACACTGACTCTTGAACATCAGCCACAAAGATTCTCTTTCCGATCGCCTGGATGTTGACAATGGCGTTGGGAATGTGCTTGTTCTCACACTTGCGTAGCAATTTCTTTTTTCCCATGTCGTAGAGGCGCAACATGCGCCCCACCCCAGCTAGTAGGCGGCCGTTGTATGCGCAGAGTGCCGTCGGGACCTCTCCCACCATTGTGCGGTGCACCAGCTCAAGCTCCTTGCCCATGGGGTCCACTTTGTAGGTGTCCAAGAACCCCTGGTTGCATACGCGGGGGTTGAGTTGGAAATCCTTTGCCACTCCCAGCACCAGGAACCATTGGTGTTCCGGCTGTCCGTGAAACTTCACCAAGGTGAGCGACATAGCGGCTTCGTTCTGCTCGAGCTTGATCAGCTTGTACAAATGGCCCGTCACGGGGTCCATTATCTTCAGCTGGGAAGCCCACATGCCATGCCCGGCTTTGGGGGCGGAGAAGACATTCTCCGGCAGGTCCTCGTTGAGAAACGCATCAGCCATCTCCTTTGCTAGCTCCTGCTCGTCTTCCCCGGCCGCCTCCTTCATCTCTTCGGCCATCTGCAGCCGGCGCTGTTTTTTCGTGTCGTCCGTATAGGCGTTGTGCTCAGTTTCGAGGATCATCAAGTTGTTCGATTCGGGGTGGATGATGAACTTGCGCGGCGTGTACTCCAAGGGGAATGAAATCTGGTTGAACACCGCCCCTAGTTTCTCCAAGGCCAGAATCCTCAACTTATTGGTGGAGATCGCAACGATGCCCTCCGGGCACTGCGGCGAGCTGAACCCGGAAGCGTATTCCAGACTCTCATAGGACAAAGGAGTGAGATAGAAGCGGCTCTGGTAGTAGTAGCTGAGCCAAGAGCGGCTGCTCATGGCCAGCACCGCTTCGGAGTTTTGCATGCGGATCTTGAACAGTTTCACTGGCCGGGAGCCCAAGTATCGGGTTCGTGTGTCGGTTAGATCACCAGTCACCGGGTCCAACACAGTCCTCAAGAGGGCGCCGTTCTGCAGCCCGATGTACAGGTAAAGGGTGCTGCCGCCCTGATTGCCGGAGCCTTCAGTCTCGTGCCCGCCGCCCATTTCCACGACACAGAGCGACTGGGCGCAGTTGGGCAACGGCTGCATGGCGCGCTCAGCCAAACAATCCGCTGGATCCAGGGATATAATCCGGACTGTGCTATCCGAAAGGCCTACAGCTAGGAACCAAGAGCGTTGCTCCCCAGGGGGGACGCTGCCTAAGGCCATGCAGAGCACATCCGAGTTCATTCGTTTGCGCTTTTCGTATTCGTGCAAAGACCCTGTGGGGTCCATTTCGAAGTAGACTAGTTCGCCCCCGGCCAGGGCAATGACGACCTGGCGCTGATTGACTGCGCATTCCACTATGGCCTTTTTCCCGGCATTCCATTTGTTAACGCGTTTGTTTGCGCAGATGTGACTCATCCCGTCGGGGTAGACTTGCAGTAGGGCGTCGTCCGCGAGGGCGGAACACGACAATGTGGGGGTGATGCCTTGAAAGCCGCTGTCGTGAACCTCTTCCACGGTTTCGCCGATGGAGAGCACCAGAGTGGCGTTGACGAAGGAGACGATGATAAAGGCGTCGAACTCGTCGTCGCTGCGCTTCTTCACCGTCCAGACGGCGATGGGATTGCCGGGCAATCCGGACACGGCCATTTCAGACACTTCCAGGCCGTGTCTTAGCACCCTTAGGGAGGATCTGGGCCCGCGGCCGCATAACATGTAGAGCTGCGGCGTGTCTTCGCCTGCCAAGTCCGCGACTCTCGACGAAAGGATGGGCGATAAACTTTCGATTTCGTCGACCAACACCAAGTTGCGGAGCGTTCGCGGGGCGAAGAAAAATGTGTCACCCTCTTCTAGTGGCATGGCCGAGCTGAACTCCAGCTCGTCGTCGTCGTCGCCCAAATGGGCGATTTGGTATAGGTAGTGGTTGCCAAACTCACAGGCCACAAAGAGGAAGCCGGTTTTCAACACAGACATCGAGGTGGCCACTGGCACAGTGTCGAAGTACTTTAGCTTGATTTCCGTGACCATTCCCCGATCTACTTCCAGGGTGATTTTGAAGATGTCGCCCTGCTCGGTTTGGGCCAGGAAGAAGAACATGGATTTGGTCTTGTGGGTGGCTGAGCACACGAAAATCATCCCTCTTTCTGGATCGTCCAGGTCATTACGGCGGCGCGGGATTGGGCAACGGATATCGTGCTGGTCTCCCAGGTTTTTATAGGTCAGATAATTTTCTGAGCAAATCAGCACCCCGGAGGGACCATCTTCGCCCCCAGGCACCATAACTAGGAAATTGGCGTGCTCCTCCAACGGCTCGGAATACTTGCGCACCATATGGTTAACCCCCAGGTCCAGCTCGTAGAACGTCAAGGTTTGCTGGGTCTTTTGCGCGGCTTCGCCGGACGGATCGATATCGGCTTCTTCGTAGTCGATTTCCAAACAGGCAAATATGGGATTGTCGTAGGCGACATCTACCCCCACCATGTGGTAGACCAGGGTGTTGCTCTTGTGCGCCTCCTGAGGCGAAGAGATGGTCAAGCGGGCGTGGTCATCTCGGTTCAAAATGTAGGTCAGCTTCTGTTTTTCAATGGCGCCAATCATTACAGCCCGCCCCCGCGGGTCTGTTGCCAAATACTGTCCAGGGACGATCCGCCTGCAGCCGCTTTTGCCAAACGTCTCCTGATGAATCTTTTCAAAGTTATTCTTCTGCGGTTGGTATTCGAGGATAACAATGCGGCCGCTGTCCGAGCCAATCACCACATAGTCTTTAGTTCCGCCAGTTAGTCGAAAAGCCATCATCGACCTTACAACGCCAAAAATTTCAATGGTAAGCAGCGTGTGCATTTTTCCGGTATTAGGATCGGGTCGCAACAGCTCAATGCTCTTGCCGCGAGCAATTACAATTTCTTGCGATTTCTGGCCGGAAAAGTTGCCGTGCACCGCATGAGTAATGGAGGTCGCCCTTTGCAGGGTCAAGTTGTACAAATACATCTTCGGCTATTCGCTGGTCTCACTTAGAGCATCTGGAAACAATGAAAACGGTTAGTGGATTAGGGGCTTGCAGTCCCGCACAACACACGTTCTTTCGAGTAAAGGTATTGTTTTTATGCTCACTAAGCTCACTTACCGTGTTGTAGCTGGGCGAAACCTCACTGGGCACAGTCAGAACTTGGCACGTTTTTCACAAGGTTTTTGTGAGAGGAGCGCGAGATAATTATTTGATAGAACTCCAGCAATTTGCGCGGCAGTGAATGAATATGGATGTTATTTTTCATATAAACCAGTACCTAACTTTCGAGGCGGCAAGCGTAACAAAACAAGCGTTTTTGTTGTTAATCAAACTGGGATCATTTGGGTCATTTAAATTTAGTTTAAAAGAAACTTGGAACATTTCTAGGTAAAGCAACTAATAGACAATTTCTTCACGTAACATTTTTTAGTTTAGCTTTCGGCCGTTTTTGTCTCAAACAATAAATAGTTGTTTTACTTAAAAACCCTCCCAAATTGCAAGAAACTAACCGTAAATGGCCCAAAAGATGCCTAATGTACAGGGTGTTTGGTAAGTAGATGCATTTCTTGCAGGGGGTGATAGTGCAAGTAATTTTGGATATATGTCGTTAATATACCGTGTTCAGAAAATGCTAAAAGCTAAAAAATGTTACTTAATATTGCGGAAACCGCTTGGAATATTTAAACGAAATTCTACAGGCTTAGGCTCTTAACAACAATACATGTTTTGTGATAAAAAATTAGCTTTCTAGCTTTTCCAGTGGCGTGGGCACAAGCACGACTGTAGATAATTTTAAATAAAAAAAAAAAACGTTTCGCCACTGATTTTTTAAGCAATAAAACTGATTATTCATACTACTGTTCAATTTGGAAGAGAAAAGGTCTATTGACTTGTTTTTCTACGACGTCCGGTTTTCGAGTAAAAAAATTAAAATTGATTTATTTTTATTGCATTGCTCAATCGGGTTGTAATTAAGTAGGGTTTAGTATAAAAGCAAAAAGAAGTTACTCAAACACTCAAAATGACGCAATTATTAATTAAGTAATAAAAAGGAAACTTGTTAAATAAAAACCCGAATACGGTGCCTTGTAGAAAAAAATTCCAGAGACTCTATCTCTTCCAAATTGAACATTAACTTGAAAAATAATATTTATTTATAGAAAAATCAGCGGCGTAGCATTTTTTCATTTAAAATTATCTACAGACGCGCCTGTTCCCACGCCACCGACAAAGCTAAATACAATTTTTTTATCACAAGACATGTATTGCTGTTAAGTGCCTAACTTTAAAATATTTCAAGGGGTTTTCGCAATATTAAAAAATTGTATTTCTAATTAACAATTAAACGCGCTGCAGACTGGAGACTAAGGGTTTTAGGAATATGGTCTATTAAAGAAATATATTCAAAATTACGAGCGCTATCACCTCCTACAAGGAATGCATCTACTTACCAAACACCTTGTAGTTACTAACAATCTGCAAAAATGTTAACACCCTGTTTAACACAAAAAGCTATTATATCATACCACCCTTAAATATTCATCAGTATATTTATGAAACACCCTGTACAAATGAGAACAGTTTTATTTGTTTGGCGACCAATTTTTAGTTTATAATCAGTTTGAAAATTCTGGAACGCAGCACACCTGCCAGCAGTTCAGATAACCCGCTGAGTATTCAAGTAAATTCAACGCATATTCAAGTAAAACTAGGTAAAAATAGGAACGTTTTACCCATTTAAATAACTGCTATTGCCTTTTGATACCAGTATATCTACGGTACAGTATCTATGAAAAAACACCTGCTGCGTTCCAAATTATCTGCTTTCTCAGTTTTCTGTACAGGAAATTATTCATTTTGAGAAAAAACACCATCATTGAAGTCAAAGGTCATTGAGCCTGTCACTTTCGACCAGAGTATACTGAAAAAACACTTTATCAGGCGCTTTAAATACAAAATAGTCAATTTGTTGCATTTAGCTATAACATTTTCCAATGGCATACTTTCATTTTTCCTCGAAAGAACGTGCGAGTGGGGACAGGGCAACAAATAGTAAGGGAGCAGGACAGCCATTTCATACAGTTAAAAAACCCATTTCAAACCCACGAAACTACCAGAACAGTCAGCCTTCGCCCTCCGTTGCCTTCAATGGATGCTGCTGTTGCTGATTTCCGATGTATTCTAAAGCCCTTGATATCCCACTATCCTAAACTGTCAATTAACCAAAGTTGCGTGAAAGTATATCCCCTTTGCCGGGGTTTTTGGACAAAATTTGTAAATATTTTAGTCATTTATGTCTAGGAGCCTTTCTAGTATCTAGCTAATGTGGTTTGAAGGCAGGCCTCCCTAAATCCAGACTCAACAACAGCCCCAAAACTTGCAGCATCCACGTAAAAATCGCTGCTCCTGGGACTTGAAGGAAAGTTTATCTAACAAGAGTTTTCATTGGCAAAACACAGAAGGCATGGACCCCATAAAGAAGGGACTTGCCACCGCCGCCATTGTTGGTTAGAGGCGTCTGCCCCGCATTTGGATTCAGATTTTAAGAACTTACCTCGCCTAGCACGATTTAAATCAGCACCTCAAACGCTCAATATTTAGGGAACTATGCGGAAAAGGTGAAAACAGTCGTTTAGTGTGGAAGTTAGGTCAATATTCACAATTATAGTCTGCTACTCTACGCTCTATTTTGGCGTGTTTCGTCGTAACAATGCCCACCAAATGAATGACAGTCGACACTGTTGACGAGACCAGCAATAATGGCCGCCAAGTTTTCGGTTTTTTGCATAGGATGCTAATAACCAAAATATTTTCTGGCTCAAAAATCTCAAATATACCAATCAAATCCCAATGTTGTACTTAGCAATTAATAACTAAAATTAATCACTAGCTTTGCTCAGGTTTACCTGCGTTTTTAGAGAATTTGGGTTGAAAACCCTCCAAGCCGTCATCTTCTATCGCTCTCGCACACTTGGCTAAAGCAGAGCGGCACTAACCTAGCAATCTTCTTGGGTCGCAAATATACTTTGCTGCGCTGAAATCAAGCTGAGCAATACGTGCCCTTTCAGAAACCCCCATAATTAGTGCGGTCAATTGCGATGACGCCCGCAAATGTGTCTGAGCTGAATGCAAATGTTCCGGCTGGGTCACGTCAGCTTCCATATAATACAGATATAATATGCATTTTATCCGCCAGGGTTTTAGACAATCTCGTTGTCAGTTTATTATCATCGTGTATCATCGTTTACCAATTGTTAGCAACAATTAAGCTTTTGTGCATTTTTCTTTGGAAATTCACTTTTGTTTAAGTGCAAAGTAATCGGGAAACTCCACGCCGGCTTTATTAGGTCCCCGTAGGACCGACCAGTGTATTAGTGGGTGTTCGAGTGTCAGTGTCAAGTTAGGGCTCCTTCAAACGGTTCCAAATGCGAAGGGACTTCAAAATGAGACTTTCGAAAACCGACAGAAAGGAGCTGGACAAGTTCACGAAATTTCTGTCCCTCAAAGCTACCGAAGTGATCGTGCAAAGCCGTTTAGGCGAGAAAGTGTCAACGCCTTGCAAATCCCACCTCAATGGACCAGATTGGGTAAGTGGCCCACTTTCGGGAACCTCGCGAGGGTTGGGGACATCGGCCTCCCTTTTCTAAACTGGGCGAGTTTGCAACTCCTTGAAAGATCTTCAGGGAAACTGGGGCAGTTGAGCATGCAGCCCTTTTTTTATATCACACAGTAAAACAGTTTGGTGTAGGGGAAAGGCTGCTTTCCAACACCCACATTGCGTAGCAAATCTATCATGGTGTGTGTATTGCAAAATAGTCGAGTTTTCTGTAGTGTTCATTGCTAAATAAGACTCAATAATGGACTCTTTTGGTTCAATGTAATGGAATGCACTTTCTTCTTTTGCCATATTGGCCTAGACTTTCAGGGTTAAAACCGGGCAGCTTTCCTATTCAAGTATTCACAAAAGCTTTGAATTTTCAACTATAAGCTGTAGCTTCTAAAGCTACGTTATGAAATATAATTTTTCATTGCAGTTCAACCTGAACATCAACGATCTGCCCGATGTGGTGATCGAGGCCAAAAAAGTCCTAAACAGTGAACTGCTAATATCCAGAAAAATGCCGTTTTGTATTGAAATTTCGCTGCGAACAGCAGAGGGCGACAGCATGGTGTTGGAAAGTTGGTGCATTCGATTCCTCAACGAACAGTGCGATCCAGTTACGACCAACGGCCAAAACATCTACAATCGCATGGGGATTCTTCTCAAGTCTCTGGTAAGCGTAACCAGAGTCACTCCGGCCTACAAATTGTCGCGACGCCAAGGTACGAACTGTGAATTTCCCTACTTTCATGAATTCTAGTCAGTAAACCCTTCTATTCTAGGCCCGGACTCCTATGTAATGATGTACAGAGTGTACATGGAAGAACCCCAGCTTCATTCGCTGGGCGATGGCTTCAAACAGATCCGAGTCGGCCAGATATGCACCGCTTTGGGCACGTTGCAGTTCTCCTGCGCCTATCGCACCAAAATGACAATTTCGCCTACGCAGACCAGCAGGAACGACTCGCTTATGCTAAAAAGCGACCACTTCAACACCAATCTAAGCCCCCGCAGCAAGCGGTACCAGCAAGGGTGAGTGCAGTTTCTCTCATTGATATGTGAATAGCCAACCCACAGACTGTGCAAAGAACGTGGCATTTGCGTCTAGGCTAGACTTTCTAATGGATAAAAAAACCAGTTTAAATAGTTGCGCGGTACCAACGAACGACCTTACCTGGTTGCCGATGGTTGCAAAACCCCATCTGGCTAAATATAGATGCGGATAGGCTTTTCAACAATATGGAACAGGGCAAATGCGTCTGTTTCTGTATGCAGAGCAAGGAGCCCGGGTTCGAATTTCAAGGCATGTAGAGCGCGCGCAGAGCACGCGCTTGTTTTCCGCAAGGTTGTCCGCTGGCTTTTGTGCATTCGATCACGTAGCATAAGACTCATTTTTTTCTGTTGCAATCGGCTCGAAAACCCCCTGTGGGACTTCCTGACGGTACGAACGCTCACACTGCCATATAGAGAATAACGACAAGGAAATTCTCGGACGGCAATTAATCATAATTGCAGGCCCCGATAGATTATGGTGTTAGATGTCGTTAGCCTGAGCATCGGAATTCAATGCGATGCGCTCGAATGAAGAGAAACGTTTATTGCATTCCAGCGATTTGTTAACGGCGGCCCTCAATAATTGTTGAGGAAACCGCTGCCATTCGCTATGTGTGTATCTGAATCCTGCTTGGCCGAGTAACTTGCAGGAATTCACCGTGAAATTGCTTCAACCTTGTCGAATGGTTGCGCTGAATGTGAAGATGTTTTCAACATGAATTCGATAACATGTTGATTCACTATCTGCCAGTCAGTTTCGGTTAAACACGTCCTATTTTTAACGACAAGTCGGCGCCTTTTAATATTGATCATTTACGCAATGAATGAATAATGAATGATTTATTGGTTTGGAAGGCTGGAAATGTATTCATCGAAGAGGCAAAAGAAAATTTGAAATTTAGTTAGTAGGTAACGCTTTGCCCTGCGTTTTGAACTCCGGGAGTTTGAAAGTGTTATAACTCGAATACGCTCGAAATTATTCAGGCATGAAAACCACTTCGATAGGGGGCTTAAAAAGCTATTTAAAATTTTCCCTTGCGGTTTGAGGTTAAATTTCTAACATATGAAGTGATAGAGGCAAAAGTTGATGATTTTAGGACATTTTCGCTCATATCTCACAAACAGTTGAAACCATCAGACGAACCGTTAGGACCTTTTTGATAGAGCGGCTCGAGCGCTGTTTTTTTTTATCTATTTAGGCTTTATCCGAAATTCCCAACCTTTAAAAAGTTAGAAGCAAAAATGCCAATTTTGTTCGGTAGTCGCGGTCGAGCGCTAATTTCGCGGATACGGGCAAAATATCTAAAAAAGCATGAGAACCGTTTTGATAGTGCCGTTCGAAAGCTATATTTTTCCCCCTGAAAATCGATGTCGCATTTCTAACCTATAGTGATAGAGGCAAAAATTGATAAATTTTGGGCATTTTCGTTTATATCTCGTAAACAGTTAAAAGTATCAGTGATCATTAACCGCTTTGATAGGGCGTCTCGAGAGTAGTTTTTTTATATTTAGGCTTTATCCGAAATTCCCAACCTTTAAAAAGTTAGAAGCAACAATGGTAATTTTGGGCGGATGTCACACTTTAAGCCTCGGAATCAAGCGAAAATATCTGGGAAAGTATGAGAAAGGTTTTGATAGGGCGTTTCGAAAACTATTTTTTTTTCCTGAAGGTCGAAGCCCTATTTCTAACCTATAAAGCGACAGAGGCAAAATTTGATGAATTTTTGAGCATTTTCGCTTATATCTCGCAAACGGTCAAAACTATTAGAAGAATCATTAAGAGCCTTTTGATTAAACGCTTCGAGAGCTTCCTTTTTCTATTTAGGCTTTACCCAAATTTCCAACCCTTAAAAAGATAGAAGCAACAATGCCACTTTTGCGCGGTAGTTGCGTTTAAGCGCTAATTTTGCGGATACGGGCAAAATATATGGAAATAGCATGAGAACGGTTTCGATAGAGCGTTTTGAAAATTATATTTTTCGTCGAGGGTTCAGGCCCTATTTCTAACCTATAAAGCTCAGAGGCGAAAGTTAATGACATTTTGGACATTTTTTTAATCCGAAATTCCCAACATTTAAAAAGTTGAAAGCAAAAATATACGTATTTTGCGCGGGTGTCGCGGTTAAAGTTTCATATCGCGGGGAATCGGGCGAAAATATATTGAAAAGCTTAAGAACGGTTTCAATAGGGCGTTTCAAAAACTATAATTTTCGTCGAGGGTTGAAGCTGTATTTCTAACCTATAAAGCGATAGAGGCAAAACTGGATGTATTGTTGAGCATTTCCGCTTGTATCTCCCAAACGGTCGAAACTAGAAGAAATTAGTAGTTTTTTGATAAAACGCTTCGAGAGCTGCCTTTTTCTATTTAGGCTTTATCCGAAATTTCCAACCCTCAAAAAGGTAGAAGCAAAAATGATAATTTTATGCGTTAGTCGCGTTTAAGTGCTAATTTCTCGGATACGGACAAAAATATCTAAAAATGCATGAGAGCCGTTTTGATAGTGCGGTTCGACAGCTATATTTTGTCCCTGAATTAGATGTCGGATTTCTAACCTATAAAGTTGATAATTTTTGGGCATTTTTACTTAATCTCGTTAACCCTTGAAACTATCGGAATGAGCATTAGGACTTTTTGATAGGTCGTCTCCATCGCTTAATTTTTCGTTTTAGGCTTTTTTCAGGGTTGAGGTCAACTTTCTAACCTATAAAGCTACAGAGGCAAAAGTTGATGGAATTTTGGACATTTTGCTTATATCTGGCAAATGGTTGAAACCATCGGAAGGTTTGTTAGACATTTTTGATAGAGCGTCTCGAGAGCTGTTTTTTATGTTGAGGTTTTATCAGAAATTCCGAATCTTTAAAAAGTTAGAAGCAAAAATGTAAATTTTGCGCGGGTATCGCAGGTTAAGTGCTTTGTCTCGGAATCGAGGAAAAATATATGAAAAAGCATAATAACCGTTTCGATAGGTCGGAATGAAAGCTATATTTTCCCCTGAGGGTTGAAGCCCAATTTCTAACCTATAAAGCGATAGAGGCAAAATTTGATGAATTTTGGAGCATTTCCGCTCATATCTCGCAAACGGTTGAAACTATTAGAAGAATCATTAGGACGTTTTTTCTATGTGGACTTCTTCAGAAAGTTCAACATTTAAAAAGTTATAAGACAATAGGTTTTAGAGAAGCGCCGAAGTTCAACAGCTAATAACTCGAAACCAGTTACAAATTTCGAAAAAATTATCTATAGCTTTTCGGTAGAGTGTCTGGCAAACTGTCTGTGCTTAAAAGGGTTTTTGAAAAATCTCCAACCTCTAAAGAGATAAAAGGACATCTTTCTTGGATGTTTAGCGGGAGTAATCGAAAACTCTCAATCCCGCATCGTCCAATGCTTTTTCCAGTTGAAACGGTCGAAGAGCAAAGTCTACCGTCGTTTGCATTCACTAATCAGCGTTCAGTCAGCGCCGAAGGTTCGAGCGGGTGAGTTTCGTAAAGTGCGCTCAGTTTCGATCGGCATTGGCATACGGTCAGCAATTTCGCTCCCGCTCAGCTATTTAAAGTGTTTGTCATTTTTGCGCCGGCTTTATCATTACTTTCAAGCGGGCCACGATGGTTGGGACAAGGATGCGGTACTTGTTTCGGTAAGTTTTGCTGCCCTAATTCTCTCAGTAGGCGTTGGCCCTTGGCAACGCAAAAAAAACTAATTTTGACTCAAAAAAAGTCGAATTTTTTAGGCCAACCGCCAACATTTCGCGCAGTTGTTTCGCGCCGTGCGGCATTATTTAAAAAAATTCGCCGCCTTGTTGGTGCCAAAACTTGAATTTAACACCGCCTACTGCAACTAGATTGTATTAATAAACCGGAATTCAATACGCCCCTAGTTTCCCGCCAAGCAAAGTGGCCTTGGTTGAAAAAAAAACGAGAGTCGTGGAGCCTTGTGATTGGCTGCCGACGATGCAGCTGTCCTTTTCGCCTTCTATGATCCTGGGGAATTTTCGCAAGTCAGCTTTTATTCACCGAAAAAAACGCCTTAAATCGGTGGAATGCGCTTGTCTGATTCATTTTATTCATCGGACTCTTGCAGCTGCTTAACATACGCATTCAGAAAGGTCATTTGAGTTCGTCCGATGGGGGAAAAACTGGCTGGTTACCGCATGCATGCTTGAATAATCCCGCAGTTTCAAGAGAAAAATGAAAATCGCGCAAGTTGGATGACTTGTCAAACGGTAAATTTCATTAATTATGCCTTCTAACTGGGTGATCAAGAATGATAATTGTAAGCAAATGCTCGAAAGTCGAGTGTTGGCTATTTGAAAACATGTTTGCGATCGCAACCAAAGGTTGTTTGTTCGGGTCATTGACTTGATAATCTTCAGGATTGTTTAGGCTTATTGTAACAATATTGTGTTGCTCAAGCATCCTAATAAGAGATACTGGTGGATTCTTCAGTATATTGCAACCACGTAATCGGCTTTCCAAGGCCTCCAGCGGATGAACGGCTTCATTTGCTTCTCCTTTCATTGTTTCATGGGTTTTCTTCTCCCGCCTCTGACACCTAATTGCCATTCATGTGCCGGTCTTTGCTCAACAGGATGTCGATTGCGATATTTTACTTTCCACCAATGACTGTGTTTCTTCAATTTGTGACTGTCTTATCAGGCTTGAGCGTTTTAACACGCATTATACTTTGATAAATGCGTATTTCTACTTTCTATCCGACTGGGCAATTATCAAATCCTTTGATTAAATGCCCCTCGTAGCACAACTGGACTGTGGTAATCACGCCGAATGAGTTCGGGTGTTTTCGTCGCCCTGAAGGGAAGTGAGACTGACAGGACGATTGCCGCTGTCCCTCTCCCACAGAACCCATATACGAGGAGTGATTCAAAATTAAATTCCTGCCCTGGAATGAATAGTGAAATAAAAAGCGACTTAGTAGAGCATGCAGCCTAATTGCTTAAAACAGTCAATTGGCAACAGGCGATGATTCCCGCAACAATAATTGTGTTAATTGTCGCCGAACAATAAACAATCGAGCTGTTGATTACGAAGCTAAAAATAGCGGTGAAATTCCAGATTCGGTCAAAGTCTGCTAGCACGGCCTTCGCGGTTGGGCAGGAAAACGAATGCAATCGGAATGCGGGCAATTTGATCGATCTGAAAGAATTGCATAAGGAATTGTTGATTGTTGTGTGAATGTGAAAGCTCCAAATTTACTTAAAGTTTACGAAAACCTTATCTTTGTAGCAGCAGCTATGCACTATTGGAAAAACCTTGGCAGTTTTTCTGATGATCTGATGATGGAAACCGGTTATTGACGGTTAGTTATTATCTCTGGCGCCGTGCTATCGGGAATTTATAATTGTTATTATTATTACGTGCGAGTGTTCATTGTTTTTCGCCTAGGATGATTAGACAGTGTAATGCGGTAATTGTTGCCCAATCATTTAATAATCAATTTTAAGAAGTGAATTATTTTCGCCAAACTGCGCTTTGGCTTCAGATAAACTTGCGTCAACCCGAAGAAAAAAACCGCTATCAAAGCTGGTGTTTGCATTCTATTTCGGGGCCAGTGTTGATTCACCTCGAGGAAGGTTGAGCGAGAAGTGAAGTCAACATTGCGAAGGTCGATTGTTGGGCTTGGGAATCGAGTAAACAGGAACAAGGAACTCGTTTGAAATGTTTGTCGTTTGTTTCAGGGATGACTGCACATCGTCGCTATCCGAAACGATGAAAATTGGCGCGTTTGCCGAGAGGAAGAAGATCTTCTTTGAAGATCCGCAGCTCGAGCTGCCGTTTAGCACGTTTTTTGCCGATCGGATTTCGCTCAACGAGCAGCCGATCGAGAGTGAGTCTCAAAGTTTGGCCACGTCGCCCTCAAATGAGCGCCTCAACGGCACCAAGGAACTAAAGGAGGCCACAGCACAGCAAAAGGGCGAAAAGAACGGAAACGTGGCAGCGCAGCCCGAAGCCTCCATGGTGTCAACAGGCGACGACTTTATCATGGTAGACTTGGTAATTTTCCTTTTGGCTGACTTTTGCTTCTTGTGCATGCTAATGCTGTTCCAACAGTAACTTAGTTTGAAACTCGTGAGTTTGGGGATTTAACATGCCTGAAGATGCATAGCCACTGGTGCTTGCAACACGTCAGGAAGACATATTTCGGAATCGACAATTTAAAAACCCGAAACACACCAGTTTTAGGCGATTTCCTTTTGCTAGTAACTACTTCATTTAAAAATAACCCAAATAACCCGTTTTTGGCTGCTGCGGTCCATGGCCCGTTTTTTTTGTTAGTTTATTTTAGCGATAACACAGGCGCCCTCACTAAAAATACATTCACAAGATACGTAACATCAATTGTTATAAACAAGTTCAGGGTCAGTTTAAATTTAGTTTGAATAACAACCAATCACATGAGGGGATTGCAACAACAGCTCGTCATGGAAATGTGACATACTTAGCTGGTTGGCAACGTAGGTAATAAAAGAAAAATAGTTCATCATTTTCGTATTGGTTGTCGATGTTGTGCACGATACTGGTTTGGACGCAAAAATACTCTAAAATTCGTCAAATGTCAACTTTTTTGCATTGAAAACAGTGTCGTGCCCGAAGGTCTCGGCACAAGTACATTGGACTCAGTTGAATCTTGATGTTGTGCCGACTCTTTCGGACACAACACTGGTTTAAACGCAAAAAACATTCTAAACTAATGAAATCTTCAGTTTTCGCATTGAAATTAGCGCCCTTCCTGAAGGGCTCGGCACAACAAATACATTGGACTGACTTGGATGTTGATGTTGTGCCGATCCGTTCGAGCACAACACTGGTTTAGACGCGAAAAATCATTCTGAACTAGTGAAATCTTCACTTTTCTCATTGAAATCAGTGTCGTGTCCGCAGCGCCCGGCACAATAAATACATTGAAATGTGTTGGTTGTCGAAGGTGTGTTGAGCCCTTCGGGCACGACACTGGCTTGGACGCAAAAAAGATTCAAAATTCGTCAAATGTTCACTTTTTGCATTTAAATAAGTGTCGTGCCCGAAGGGCTCGGCACATCAAATACATTGGACTGAGTTGGATGTCGATGTTGTGCCGCGCCCTTTGGACAAGACGAGTTTGGACGCCAAAAAGCCTGTAAATTCATCAAATGTTCACTTTTCGCATTGAAATTAGTGTCGTTCCCGAAGGGCTCGGCACAATTTCGACAACCAACACACTCCTATGTATTTGTTGTGCCGAACTCTTCGGGCACGACACTGAGTTCAATGCGAAAAGTGAACATTTGACGAATTTAGAGTCGTTTTTGCGTCCAAAGCAGTGTCGTGCCCGAAGGGTTCGGCATAACTTCGACAAGCCACACATTTTTATATATTTGTTGTGCCGAGGCCGAAGGGTCTACTGATTTCAATGGGAAAAGTGAACATTTAACGAGCCCAGAGTAGTTTTTGCGTCCAAACCAATGCCGTACCCGAAGGGCTCGGCACAACTTGGACAACCAACACATTTTTATGTATTTGTTGCGCCGAGCTCTTAGGGCACGACACTGATTTCAACGCGAAATGTGAAAAATTAACTAGTTTAGAATGATTTTTTTGCGTCTAGACCAGTGTTGTGCTCGAAGGGCTCGGCGCAACATCGAAATTCAACTCAGTACAATGTATTTGTTGTGCCGAGCCCTTCGGGCACCACACTTATTTCAGTGCGAAAAGTGAACATTTCACTAGTTAAGAATGCTTTTGCATCTAAACCAGTGTTGGGCCCGAAGGACTCGGCATAACATCGACCATCAACTCAGTCCAATGTATTTGTTGTGCTGAGCCCTCCGGACACGACACTGGTTTAGGCAAATAACATTCTAAACTAGTGAAATGTTCACTTTTTTGCATTGAAAAGAGTGTCGTGCTCAAACTTCGATAACCAACACATTTCTATGTATTTGTTGTGCCGAGCCCTTGGACACTAACTTTGATGCGAAAAGTGAAGATTTTAAGTTTAGAATGGGATTTTAGAATAATTCTAGTTTAGAATGCTTTTTTTTGGGTCTAAACCAGTGTTGTGCCCGAAGGACTCGGCACAACACCGATATTCAACTTAGTCCAGTAAAGACTGAGTGAAATGTTCACTTTTCCCATTGAAAACAGTGTCGTGCCCGAAGGGCTCGGCACAACAAATACATTGAACTGCGTTGGATGTCGAAGTAGTGCCGAGCCTTCGGACACGACACTGGTTAGAACGCGAAAGACTCCAGCCAACTGGATGGAAATGGGGGTGGTATTCTTGAGCCTATTGTTGTTGCAAAAGCTTGCTTTGCTTTTTTTGCAAACAAAATCAAACTAAACTAACAAGATTTTGTTGTTGCAGAGAACGCCATTTGCTAAGCCATCAGGTGAAAAATCCGAGCTAACGAAGTTCTTCAAAGAGTGGCAACAGGCGCCCTTATTGGAGACGTTTAAAGAGCTGCCGCCCATTGAGGCGACCGACCTCCAAAAGCAACTGGAAACGTTTGAGAGCGACCTCAATGAGTTCGACAGCATCGTGCAAACGCTTTGTCAAAGTTCGCCGAACAACAATTGAACCCGCCTTGAAAGAGCCACCCCGGAGTGGTTGCGCCGATATTTATTTATTTTCTCTGTGTTTCGTATATATGCATTTGAAAAATATGCCCCGATGTGTGATTGGTCCGGTGTAAGCGATGTTTTTGAGTGGGGGTCCAGTCGATGCGAGCCTCTATATTAGAGCGCTTTGAATGTTTGCGGTTTCTATTGATGCATATCAAGCCCGATGTTGGTTTTGGTAGGGCCGGGAGGTTGTACAAGGCAACCCCCGTAGCTGAAGACTGAATAAGGGAGACAAGAACTTACTAATTTAATTTTGTACATATATTTCTAGGGAAAGTTGCGGCCTGACTCACTTTTGCGGAGAGTGAATGGCTTTGAGTGAGTGCGCTTGAATGAGAGTGCCAAGTGAGGTCAGGGGTAGTTAGTCTATGCCGCGTGCTGATGCTGGAAGCGAATATTTTACTGTCAATTTGTACACGGAAAGTGCACAGGGTGTCCTGCGGCACTCTGTGCTCAGGTTATTGAATTTATTCAAAGTTTAACTGCGTTAAAGTGCTGTTAAAGTTTATTGTTCCGGCGATTGTCCCTTTGTCTGGTACCTTGCAACGCTTTGTTCGCTTGCAATAATTGCTCAATACGTAACCGGTTTCGCATATTGTAAATGATGTGGTTCTATTTTATTAATATTATTATTATTGTGGCTTCAAACCAAACTTGTTTAGTTGAGAGTTTACGCGTCAGTTGTACTTTGTCTAGGAAAATGCGAGAAAATTGATTCAAACAGTTATTGCCAAATTGTATTTTATTTACATTAAAAAAGTATCTTTTAAGTGGTGTTTGAGTCTCGTTTTATCCCCGACTGGAAAAGTACTCGATTATCCGACCCAAGCTTTGAACTGGGTTTTTGGAGCTGCAAATCACTGTCTCCCCTTTGCGTGGGTTTGACTCACCAAAATCGCTCGTCAGCAAAACAAATGGCACTTAGACAGCCACTTTGTCCAACAACAGCAGCACGCTGACCATTTCCGGGCGGTCTTTGGCGCGCTTCTGCACGCAAGTTTTCCCAATGCGAACCAACTCTGCAAAAATGAACTCGCCGCCTTCTGCTTTCGCGTCCTTCAGCTGCAGGAGGTTTTCCTGCGGATGGTTCACCACTTGGTCCTTCAGCAGGCGCTTGTTGTCGCCAGCAGGCGACCGCGCAGTAGCCAGCTCGAACAGCACCACCCCGAAGCTGTAGGTGTCGATTTTGGTGCTAAACTGTTTCGAGCGCAGAAACTCCTCAGGCAAATAGGGCAAAGTGCCCTGGACTTTGGTCACTTGGATGTGAGTGTAATGTCTTTCAGGGCCTTCGCGCGCCAATCCGAAGTCGCCTACACCAGCGGAAAAGTGACCGGAAAACACAATTAAGAAAATGTGCTCCTTAAGGCATAATCTACAATGTGAGCAACTTGGTGTTTGCCGAACCAACAGTCAACTAAGCTAGAAAATTGCCATAAAATCAAGCTTACCAATCCTTGGCTGGTCCATGAGATCCAACAAGATATTGGCGCTCTTGATGTCCCCATGGATTAGGGGCTTGTTTCCATGGAGCGTCGTGTGGAGGAACTGTAAACCTCTGGCTGTACCTGAAAAAAGTTACGATACACAGCAGTTAAAACAGCGAAAACTAATGCTAGGAGAAAATGACGTAAGCATTGTCTGACTGAAACCTTTCAATTGCGGAGTCTTTCCGTTCCCGGGCTTAAATCAACTCTCACATCGGCTTACCAGTGGCGATTTTGAGCCTTGTAGGCCAACTGAGCACTTTAGAGTGGTCCCTGGTGCGGATTCGACTGTCCAAAGACCCTCCTGGCATGTACTGGTATATCAAGCAGGGATGGGGGCCTCCTAAGCACCAAATCACAAGCATTAACCGCAACTGATCAGCCTCCACCTACCAATGCTGTATCCGTACAAGGGCAGAATGTTGTCGTGTCTGTAGGCGTTCAGACAATGCAGCTCAGTTACCGATTGCCTGATCAGCTCGCTAAAGTCCTTCCGACTCTGCTCTTTCGTTTCCAGTCGTTTTATTGCCACTTGCGTCCATTTCCACGTGCCTACAAGTCATATTGGATTTTTGGGGCTCAACCTTTAAACAACTTCAAAACCAAAGACCTTTAAACACGATTCCAAATCCTCCCTGGCCAAGAATATGGTGCGCATTCCAGTTCTCTGTGGCAATTTCCAGCTCGGGATAGGGAATATGGGGAGTAGCCCCAGCGCTGGACGCCACACAAGCCGATAACACTTTAGAGGAATCCCTCTGGACCACGGGGGCATTGGGGCTGCTGTTGTTGGCCACCAAGTGTCCGTTCTTGGTCACGTTATTGTCAGTGGTTTGATCAATATTGGGTCGTTTGCTTAGTGTCTTAGCTGCGCTCTTGTTGAAGTTGGCGGTGGGGACTTTGGGGTCCCGGATCTGCAATTTAGCCGCCCTTTCCGGCATGTTGTCCTCCTTGATCAGCACATGGTACTTGTCGTCAACAAAGGCCCTTAAAAGGGCCATGCCTGGGTAGAGGCTGATGCGGTTCAGTAAAATGAACAGCTCTACAAACAACATGGTAAAACGGGCTGAACTTCGTTTTAAATGCTTCGCTCACCTAAAACTGTGTGGTTCAGCTGGCCCCACATAGTCAGCAGCTCATTTGCGGGTGACTGTCGCCGAAAAACCTCCGTTTTCAGCCCTGCAATGGTCAAGTCGTCAAAGTTCATGTGTTTACCCAACTGCTCCCACTTGCTCCCTTGGTCCAGCAGCTGGCACAATTTCCTGCGTTCCTCATAGGGCAGGTGATAAATATACATGGGGGGCTTCGGGCTGCTCATTTTTATTACTCAATGTTGAGGCACGGGAAAAACCCATTCAAGCAAGCGAAATGAGGTTAAGGCCACGTTAAGACAATCAAATCAAAACAAACCACTGTGATTTGGGAATACCATGCGCTGGAAAAGGATGGGGCATTGAAAGAGAGAAAACCGTGATCTGGTTGGTCAGTTTCGGTTGAGGTCGGGGGAATGTCAGTTATGTCAGTTAAATCGTATATACAGTGTGTGGTAGAAAGGCTTTTTAATGTCAAATTGTCAGCTCAGTTGACAGCTATTTCCTAAAGGACAAAATCGCTTATCGCAATTTTTCAGTTAATTTTTATAATTGTTATACAGTGGGTTCCATTGCAAGCACCCCTGATCAGTGCGCCCGAAAGTTACTCAAGAAAAGTTCTGGAAAGGAGAAAACATTGGTAAGTTCGTGCATATTTAAGCTAAAATTTTTAGAAGCTTATCCCGTACGTTGATGATAACTTTCGTAACTTAAACATGATGTTTCTTTTATTTTCACCTATTTAGGTTCCGAGATATACAGTGCGATTCACAACTTTATGGAAACAAAGCAGGAGCGTGTAGAGGACCTCAAAACAAATCGAGTTTACATTTAAGTTTTTTTTCTCAGGCTCATGGTTTACGCTATACAGGGCGTTAAAGTTTCAAAAAAATGTTGGTATTTTCTCTTTAACTCCTACAGTTTATGAGATATTTTGCTCAAATTTTTAACGTAGGCTAATTAAGCCAGTAAAACTTTTTACCTGTAGGTAAGGCAACTGCTTGTGAAAATCTACAGGGTCTTCTATTTTCTAGAGGCATACCCCCTTTTGCAGCCCCCGAATTTTTTTGTTTTGCGCGGCTGACTTCGACCGAACACATTTTTGCATTTGTTGTTCAATTTAAGAATTTTCTGATCTTTTGCAGTTTTTTCGTATCCGTTTTCGTGTTCGAGTCATTTGCACAAATATAAGACTATGTAGGGTTTCTGAGTGAATTTCTATGCATTTTCTTATAAATTTTTGTGTGTCCTTTTGTTCACATTTTTCTGTGAAAGCTTCAAATGCAAGTTAAAGTTAAAATAGGGATGGCTGACGAGTTAACTTAAAATTTTTTGTTTACTTTAATTTACAATAATTGAGGTTTATTTAAGGTAATACAAATAAAAATACACAAAAATGTAACGAATATTTCAATTTATCATAAAATCAATTTCTTTCACAAATAAAATGTGAGCAAAAGGACGCCAAAAAATTATAAGAAAATTCATGGAAAAGCACCCAGGAACCCTATATGTACTTATATTTGTGCAAATAACTCGAAAACGAAGACAGATACGTAAAAACTGCAAGGGATCAGATAATTCTTAAATTGAACAACAAACTCAAAAATTTGTTCGGACGAAGTCAGTGGCGCACCACAAAAAAGTTCAAAGAGCGCATGCCTGTAGAAGAAAGAACACCCTGCAGATTTTCACAACCAGTCGCCTTGCCTACAGGTAAAGGCTCTAAACATTGGCCTACGTAAAAAAATTGAGCAAAATGCCTCATAAACTAGGAGTTAAAGAGAAAATACCAACATTTGTTTGAAACTTTAACACCCTGTATCTCGTTAACCATGGGCCTGAGAAAAAAAGACATGAATGGAAACTCGACTGGTTTTGAGGTCCTCTACACGCCCCTGCTCTGTGTTTATAAGGTAGTGAGTCACTCTGTATATAAAGGTGAATGTATGTATGTATATAAAGATTCTAAAGTATGTATATAAAGATAAAGGTTCTAAAGCAAATTTATCTGAAATTTTATAAGGTACCTGTCACAAAGGACTGCTGCGAGACACAATAAAGCGTGGCCTGACATGGAGTAAAAAATTGTTACTAGTTTAAAAAATGACAATTTTTTTTCACTTTTTAAGCTACAATTTCTTTTCTGCTTTTCTCATAGAAATATGACCAAATAATAAAAAAACGTGGTAAAAAATGGCAAGGTAGGAAGAAATGTCATGTTTTCTGTCGTTTTTTCGCTAATTTCTCAGGACCAGATTGAGTTGGAGCTCTCATTTTTACACCACTGGATGGAGCACAATTGGAGCTTTTAGTAGGCGAAAAATGGCTTGGGAAATATTGACAGTTTTCTTAGAAAACGACATTTTATGAAACGTGTTAGTTTTTCGCGGTTCAATTTTTAAATGCAAAATCGACTCAATCAGAACGCCGCCTTTCCCGATGTTTCTCAACCGTTTGAACTCGAGAGCAGTTTTGCTATCATTGGAAAGATAATTGGAAACCCGATTCAATAAGTATGCTTTCTGAATATCGGGACTCAAAGATCGCGGTTGAAAAAATGTAGCCAGTTTTCACACAAAAAGCGAAATTTCAGTATCAGACATTTCAGTTATGGCATCTTTAGTAAGGAAATAGTGAAAAACCATGAAACTTCTAATGCAACAATCGGAGAGTCAATTAGCCAATACAGCGAAAAATTGGCGCTACTTAAAAAAACCATAAACATAGTTTAAGAAATTTGGAAATGCGTGAGGAATTTTTGACTTTTTTTATTGAGAGCAACATTTTCAGTCGCCCATGAACTTAATTGCCACATTCTCATGCAAAAAACCCAAAAAAACACAGTTAATACTTTTAATCTCTAGTTTATTTATAAACAGATCTTGTACATTTAAAAAGATAATAAGCAGGGTAAGTCTTTGTTTCCTTATAGAGAGCTTCGACCAAGCACGATTGCAAGTAAAAAACTCTTACCATCTATGTAGGTATTGATAAACTAACTTTACGTAACAATCCAAACAGTCATCGACAGCAACAGGTTGAAAGAGTCTTTCAATAAGTCGGCGGGACGCACTTGTCCACTACCTTCTAGGTCATTAAAATAGAACTATATTAGATCGATTCCACACTTTAATAGAATTTCTTTCGCCATATGATCAATGGGTTTTCGTTGGTCCATCTAATTTACATTGAGAATATTTACACTGAGCGTGATATTTACACTTAAAAGTCGTTTATCGGGTGCAAACAGGGACACCACATGAGCAAGACAAAGTACTTACATAGTATGTACATATTTATACTAAGATTAGTCGGGTTTTCTAAATTGAAAGAATCAACGTTTCCATATAATATAGACTCTTTAGATATCTTAACATATACAGCATGATAAATATGATGATTGTCAGGTGATGATGATAAGGGAGGAATGTAGAACAATGGAAGCACCAAGATTAATGAACGACAGTCAGCTCTAACAGAAGGGAACTATCAAAGCGCTGTTTGAAGCCAGGAAAGCTTCGGATGCTTCAACAATGGGAATTGTGCGCTACTCTACTCAATGGGAACGTATTCTTTGTTGATCCTCTTCAGGAATGAGTGGATCGCCTTGAAGGTGGGCCGATCGGTGTCGTCCCGGCACCAACAGCTGCACATTAGCTCGTAGATCCCAGACGGGCAATGTTGGGGCTTGTTGAGCATCACCTAAAACCCACCCAGGCACTATTGGATGATCAAGCTGCTATTTCCCGACCAACCTGCAGTTCGCCCCCATAATACATGTGCTCGGCGTTCTGGATCACTTTCTCGTTGGACAAATTGGCGAAGGGGCGGTCACAGCAGAAGTTCAAAATCTCCCATAGAGTGACCGCAAACGCCCACACGGCACTGGAGCAGGAGTACCGATCCTGCAACCGCACGTTAATGAGTTAACACCCGGCTGATCCAGAGCTGCTTACCAGAAGAATGCTTTCCCACGGCAGCCACCTTATGGGGGCGGGAGGCCGGCCGCCAATTTCCGCGTACTCCTTGCGGTATTGCGGCTTTGACATGGCAATGTCGGTTATTTTGATCACATAACCACGCCCTACCAGGCAGTTTCTTAAACAAAAAAATCCACCAATCAGTACGCAGTAGGCGGTGAAAAGACGCCGCTTTACCTGGCCGCCAAGTCCTTGTGGGTCACATGTTTCGACTCCAAGTACTTCATGGCTGAGGCGATTTGGGTTGCAATATACATCAAGCTTCCACTGCTGGAAAGTGAAAGGAACAGTTAATTGAACGCTTAGTCTCCCCAATATTATTGTTATCAATAGAGCCTGAGACGCGCATCGAAACAGTGTTGTTTAGGCTATCAGGAAATTGAAGATTTTCGTGCAGCCCAAGCCAATTAAGCCGATTGTAATTAGCAATGCGATCGATTCCTATAACGTGAATGCTGGTTGTGCAGCAACAAAGCTCACGCTGATCGATTTCAGAATTTTGCTTTGGCATTATCGTGATTAGATAATTTCGGATTTTGATGAATCAATTTGATCGCTGTTTGTCGGCACGTTCCAACGCGCCATCCCTATTATTTGCCCGACAATTATCCAAACGCGTTTGCTTCGAGACGTTTTGGTTGAACTCCACGTTTTTTTCGCCTCGAGCGGCTGCAAATTGACAAAAATATTGACGTTATATGAGACACGATCCCAATATTGCGCCCTCAAATGGGATTCGAACACGAAAATACTGTGACGCTAATTGAGAAATATCGGTTTGAGGCGCCTTTGATATTTGTGTTTGTCGCCCGTTTCGCCCATCAACTGTATAATCTAACTTTTCGGGAGTAATACCGCATTGAAAACTGTGCAGAACAAGATTCGCCAAGAAAAATTTATTTGAATTGATCATCGGCAATAGGAATACATATATGGTATTAACTGAGACGATCTGAATCGCCAATTTAAAAAATAGTTTGAAACTGAAAGGGTCATTTTGAACTATTCTCGTCTTGTTTTTTGAACAGTATAATTTTTTAAGATAGCACAAGCTTCAAGGTTAGCCAACCTCAGGCACCTTGGAAGTCACTTTAGAAGACACTTGACTTTGCACATTTTTCGGGCACGACACTTATTTTGACTCAAAAACACTAAATTTTGCGATTTTTTACTTTTCGTCGTTCAATTAGAGTCGGGCTCGGCTCGACAAATGAATTAAAGCTAGTTTTATATCAAAGTAATGCTGAGCTTTCAGGCACACCACTGGACGTGAAAAACACTCCAAATTTTGCAATTTTTTTCTGTTGGTCTTCGAGACAGTGTCGTGTCCGAACCGCTCAGTACACGAAACGTAATAGAGAGTTTTATGAGAAAGTTGCGCCGCGGCCTTTTGGTACCACACTGACTTTGACGCGAAAAACACTGCGAATTTAGCGGTTTTTTACTTGCTTTCCTTGGTCTTATCCGAAGGACACTACAAATGGATGAAAAGTGTTTATGCCAAAGTTGTGCCTAGCCTTTAGGGGCCTTAAACTTTGACATTATTCACTTTTTGTGATCCAGTCAGTGTCGTTCCCGAAGGGCTCGGCACAACAAACGCATTAAAAGTGTTTAGTAGCAAAATTGTGCCGAGCCCTTCGGGCACGACACTGATTTGGACCATCTAACTTTTCCGATTTTTATTTTTAATCTTCCAGCCAGTGTCGTGCCCGAAGGGCTCGGCACAACAAACGCACTAAAATTGTTTAATGTCAAAGTGGTTCGCACTATAATCCCAACGTTTCACTCGCACGTATGACTAAAATTATTTTGGGTTTGAAATTCCATCAAAAGATGGCAGCAAAACAGTCGGACCAAATTCCTAAACGACGAAAAACTCGGCGATTATTTACCAATTAACTGTTCCAACATTGTCACACGGTTCTTTACGCGATGAAAATTCTGAATGATTCTAAATCCAATAAGATCATTTAAGGCAGTTGCGGAAAACTCAATTAGCCGCCCACTAAACGTTGAATGAAACGGGACTAAATGAGGCAAAACCATCCCTCAAAAGGCCGCTAATCGAATAGTCGTCGGGCACACGGTCCGATTTCAAAACAATGCAACCGAGCCTGATCCCGGCCAATTAAAAGCCGGAAAAAGGGCCTCAAACAAAGGCTCGATTATTGCGCTTAATTCGAACCTCATGGGCTGATCCTCTGCAGGTCGGATGCTTCCATTCCTGTTGACCAGGAATTGGAGATATTGAGCCAAGTCGCCCATTTCGCCATACTCGATGACCGTCCAAGGGGGCTGTTCAGCTGTGCAGACCTGCAACAATGTAAAAAGTGGTTTGAGGCAAATAAAAAAAACTGGGAAAAGCTCACCCCTAAAATCCTGCAAATGTTCGGATCGTTCAACCCGGCCAAGAAGCGGATCTCTCTGAGGCTTTCGACCGCATCTTTGCATTTGTCGGGGTTGGGCGCCCGCACTATCACCAGCCTGCAGACGCTCGGAATGATGTCTTCGAGATTTTCCGTCTCGTATAACGAGAGCTGGAAATCAGAATGAAGAAATGAATATTGAGCAAATTTCTAAATTAATTGGAAGTGAATGCCCAAAGTCATTTTACTCCTGAGTGGATTTTTGCCGAGCGCCGACCGACCCGCACGAAACTTGATAATTTAACTTATGAATAGCCCGAAAGGCATCTAAGTTATCCGCAGCTATTCCCGCTCGAGTATCTTATCTAGTTCCGGAATGAGAAAATATTGTTCTTTTAAATAAGTTTTCGAATAAGTTGCCGTTGATTTAGGTCGACAGTTTCTCTACCTTTCGCAGCTGCAGTTTAACGCTCATTTGTTCGGCAGGAATCGGTGCTGGAAAAGTTCACTCTCTAACTTTCACTTAGTTTGGATCAATTTCTCTTGGCCCTTATGGCCAAGCGACTGGTTCCACGGCTCGTAATGGAGCGTGCAGTTGGAATGTGGATCTTCTCCTTAGATCAATTTTGCACGACACATGCAGCTGTTTCATAAAAATTGGCTTTATGACTCAGTTTCATTAAGCCGAACAGAGGCAAAGGTTCATAAAAACAGAACAAAAGCCCGAGAGCATTTAATTCAGCATGAAAAAGTTTTGTTCACGGTTTGAAACCTGTTTTGTTCACGGCAATCGTCCAAACTAGTTCGAATCAAAAACTTGTGTTTAAAAATATCTGCGTGCGAACAGGCACTTTCTATAAAACAATCAACAATAGAAGAAGGGAAATCGACAAACAGGGATGATCAAGCAAACAATTATATCATTACGTTAATTATGTAGTTCACTGCCTTCGGAAAGTGGTAAAAGCCCCGATATTGCTTCAGTTTCTTTTGGCAATGGTGACTAAATATTCAGTTTGGTACGGGAAGTGGACAAAATACGTCGTCAGTCCTTTGTTCATAGACGGCACAAAAAGGATGATGTGGCGCCAATAAGGCAAGTGTACTAGATTATCAATTTTCTTCTGACGGAAAGATTAAAGTTTTCGATTCGGAGTGAATATTTACTGTTTGTTCAGGTCTAGTGTGATTTCCTTGAGAATGGGTAGGAAATGGAGGATAGGGCGCCAGCCTGTAGCAAGCTGGTAATAATGAATTCTTATCCATAAATTATGGTGGGTTTATACACGAGAATAAGAAGAAAGGCTTAAGGCATAAGAATAACGCGTTAGGTATAACGCCACTTTTTTGTTTATAAAGCAGAATAAGGAACAATATTATTTTATGCACAGCCAATCAAATTGCAGCATAGGCTTATGAAACAATTGGGTGGTGTCTGTTTATGTCAACATTATTTCGGTAACATACCAATAAAAGCTAATTTCATATAAATATTGTACATTAAAATGGATTTGTCCACTGAAGAAGCAGTAGCTCTTTTTGGTTTAATAATTTCGTTTTCTAACCTCACAGCAAAATGTACATACGATGTTTGGCGGTCACGTGGGATACTGGCATATGATTTACCTTACAAACTGAGCATTCCTCATTAGAATAACGCCTAACGCATAAGATAAAAGTTGGCAACTTTATGAATCCTTATTCCTTAAGCGTTAGACAGTATTCGGTTTATAAACACCTCTATGGACTGATGCGCAACGGACTTTTAAGATACGCCTTAATCGTTAAGCGTTATTCGTTATTCTCGTATATAAACCGACCATTAGTTTAAATTGAGTTTAGTTTTTCGAGAAGCCACTGAAGTGGATGGCATTTCTTATTTATCTTTATTTCCTCTGTTGATTTCAAATAAGTAAACTTTTAACTTAGTTTCTGTAATACTGAAGAATGTTTTACTTTCTTTCAAGGTGGCACAATGTAGCTTTCGGTAAGTTTGGCATTACTTTGCCCCTGGTTGGTAGCTGTAGAGCTTTTAGTCCCATATTATATTGCTGCATGCCGTATTTATTCGACAAGGAACGACGAGGGACGATCAGGATTCTGGTTTCAGTTTTGAAATTTTTCGAATTTCCTTTCTGTAAAAATAGTTTCAACTCAGATATGAATTGGGTTCTCTAGAGAAGACTCTTTTGATATGTAAAATATTAACTTTCTGTTGTAAACTATACTTTTTATTGTCTTGGCAGATAGTCTTGACTGTATTTAAATGTTAAAATAGGGCAGAATCCAGACCAAAATTCCTAAAGGTAGGTGGAACCTGTTTATTGTTTTGTGACGGTTTAGCGGATAGCGCCCTAAAAGGTTGCAAGTGATCTTCTCACACGACACTCTATAAACAAATTATTTTTGCCAAACGATTCGTACAATATAATTTCAGTCCGATTTATTTCATATTTTTGGCCATCCAGAGCCCTTTAGGCTTAGGTAAGTGGTCCAGATCAAGATGTTTAAGCAGACTAACAGCCACTAAATTACTTTCTTGAGAAAAAATCGGGATTTTAGGGAATTTTCAGCAATCTGGCTCTGGACAGCATTCCGTTTTGTAGAAGTAGGTGGCAACCAGGATTGTAGTTTATCTTTGATGGTACTTATGCTAATCGCATGTGCAAATCTGTGGATTTTATGAAGCGAATTTGATATAACGGTTTTCCGAAATTATAGCGCACTTATTTTCGTATGCTTTCGACTTTTCTTCGGATAAAACAGGTAACTTCGGATCGTATATAACAGCATTATATACATTTAGCTGCAATTAAAATATTACTTTAACTATCATCTACACACAAAGAAAGACACTTAGAGCAAAACTATAATTTTAAAAAAGGCGTCTTTGTATGCAACAAACTATATTTTTTCCAAAAAGTCGGGTACTCGGCTTTAAATCCACTGAACATTTTTTGACTGAGAATATTTTGTTTGGAAAATCGTCTATTCGGCATCAAATTCTTCATAAATGTCAACTTTTTCAACTTAAACTAATTGCTAAAATATTTTTTTCAAAATGCTCTCTGAGTATCAATCATCTCAATCAAACTCGTACTTCCTTGCTGTTGCCGCTATCCCATTTGAGGCTGGAATGGTTTTTATAGCTAGTTCTTTGGGCTTTCTGGTGGTATTGGAAGCTTTCAAATGTCTGGACATTAAACGAAGTTCCGGGCAAAAGAGTGGAGGTATGCGTAAATGGAACAGTCGAACGGTTGCCAACATACAGGACTCATTATCCCCCAAACCGTTGCTCATGTCGATTTTTTTCAAGACAGCTGAACCCTAGTGAATACCCGTGGCAATCCAGGCCATTTTTTGTTTTCGAAATGTTGCCAACAGTTTGGAGTTATGGGTAAATAAGTGTACAAACAATGTGGGTGGCAGTTTAAGTCTCTCTAACTTGAAATTCCATTTTCTGCGAAACTATATTCGAAAACTATGTTAACCAAAAAAAAGTGGCATTTTGGTCTAAATTCGACCCGCAAGTTCTTCACTTGAAGAACTTGAAAGAACTTGCACATTTGCAATTTAGAAAAAAAATATATATATTGGAGTTTTTTTTGTAAACCCTTGAGAAGCGCGGAAAAATACATTTTGGAGTTAAAAATCTGGGTGTGCCGCCACCAATAGAGCGTGTTCGCAGGCACAAAACCAGCTCTTCAGATCCTTGAAAAGTTAAACTCCCCTGGAGCCAAAACGGTGACCAAAATGAACTTTGGCCCTGAAACAACTTCTTACGCCAAGTCTATGGGCGTTTAAAGGTTTTTTGAATTTCGGAAAAATGTTGATAACTGACCGAGTTACAGGGCAAAGAGTGGAAGTGGAAGTAAAATGTGCAAGTTTGACAGTTTTTCGCTTGCCATTATTCAGAGCCCATTTCCTTCCAAACTGTTGCAAATACAACTTTCTTATAGACAGTGAATGAGTCGAGAATACACTTTGCAAACGATCTCATGTTCTATTTGGAAAATAGGTATATTCAAGGTAAAAATTCAAAGTATTTTGTTCGGACAATCGTCTTTTCGACATTCAAATCATCAAAATTTCCAAATTTTTCAATCCAATGTAATTTTCTAAGACGCAGTTTTTATATAAAATCATACGGTACGGTAAACAAGATTTACAAATCGGCCCGATATTAAGAGTTATGCAGAATTAAAAATAATTATTAAAATCCATCTGATCGTCGTCTGAAGTCAGTGGCGAATCTTCTTCGATCACCTGACCCGAACAATCGACGCGGATTTTACAAACAGACTCTAGACTCACAAACAGACTCTTAAACATCCATTTTGAGTGAAAACCCAGGAACACGTTCAACATCTTAAGCATCAAATGTCTCGACAAATCAAATGAAATCGCTACATGAATTTTTGCTGGATCCGATCTGTGCTGTCGCGCAGACTAAAAGTCAAAGTTTATGTAGAATTTCTCCCAAACAGATGATTTATTCCTATAAAAGAGCTCAGCATTATTTCAGCCCAATATTACATAAAACGCTCAGTTGGAAGGGGTGGAGCGAAATTAGGCCACCTCGATCACCGGACTTAAGCAATCGGGACTTTTAACTAGTGAGCAAAGGGAGGAGTCCCTTTTAACAGTTTTAACCCAATGAAATCCCTTCCTGAATGCTTCCTAGTTAGAATTTATAGTGCTACGACGGTTAAAAGCTGAATTAAAACAGTTAATGCATGTCTAAAATTGGATCAGAGATCATAATTTTTTGCGCAAAAGTATGAATGCTACAAGATTTTACAAAGCGACCAAAAATACCCAAAAAGGATTGGCGCATCAGTTCGAAAAAAATAAGCGGATCTCAGAGACCAAATAAAAAGTTCTAGTAGTTTTTGCACCAGAACACTCAAGAATTCCTCAGTTGCGGATAAATTCGGTTGCTTCATCAAAACATTAGTCTTATATGTAGAAGAACACAGCGAGTTTCATTAAAAACCGTCGTACCATTGTCCTGATATTTTTGACTTTGACCCTCAAAAGCAGAGAAGCGATACATTTTTTCTTAATAAAACTCAGGTCAGATTGTCTTCTTTTGATCCAAAGAATGCCGCTTGATCATATGCCTACGTGACACCCTGTATAGTACAACTTTCGGGGCCTTATTATCAACCGACCCTTTGGTTTCCTGCAAGCCCTGACAAATTTCCACAGTGTCGAATATTATCCCGCCCGTTAAAATACATGGATTCCGAAGTTCGGAAAGTCACTGGACCCTATAAGTTAACTTTGTCGAAAGTCAGCACAATGGGCCTTTCTTGTAAGTTAAATTGCCTATTGATTCATACGCCGCCCGAGCGGATTCTTTGTCATGTAAAGTATACATGACAGCGGAAAAATAGGAGCAATTTGTCGGTTTGAGGACAGTTTTTGGGCGAGAAACGCTCTTGAAAAGTAGCAGTTTTCCCTGAGTGCCGTAGTGGAATGCTTACCTCACCAGCGGGACAGGAACCCAGTTTTTCGACCTTTCGCAGAGAATATCTGAGAATGGGCACTAGTTCCACTTCGCGGCAGGAATACGGCTGTCCCATGCTAGGGACAATATTCCAGCACATCATTGGGGGCAGTATCTTTAATATCAACAGGAGGATTAGCCAAGCAATGAAAACTGCCGAAAAATCCCCGACATACCCGATGCTTCTCCCTAGGGGCAGTGTAGAACTTCTTGCCTCTTTCACCACTCTCCCTCGGGAAATAGTTGCTCAGATTCATCACCATCGACTTGGGGCTGAGAGATGGCGTGCTTTGCAAACTCCTGCAACTCAAGTTAGCAGCCCGATAAACTCACTAAACCTCCCCGTCTTACCGGTAGTTCAACGGCGCGATAGGGGCTTGAATATCTGGCGTGTCCGGTAGGGGCGGTACCTCCGGAGGAGTAGGAGCTTCTTCGTTGAAGTCTGGCGACTCGATAGGAGCCGTCTCTGAGCACCTGCCGAAGAAAAACCCAGAACTTCTCCCCCTAGAGCACGTTGGCCAGCACCTACCTGAGAGTCGTGTAGGTGGAAGGGGTGTAATAGTTTCCCGCCAGCGAGGATCGGTACTCTTCATACGTCATGGGCGTGATTGGTTCCAAGCAACTATCCGGATGGCTGACGGGGGTGATGGGCACGCTCTGATTGGCGTTCTGAGCATTGCCAGATGAAAAGTTCATCAGCAGGTCCTGCGAGAGATTCGTTCTAGAACAGTGAGGCCAGTACCAAAAGCACGTACCTTCATGTTGATTTTCAAAGGGTTGCGGAAGAGAGTGGGCGAGCCCTGCAGCTTGTGCCGCTTGTTGATGATCAACACTATGAGGAAAACGATCAGCAACAGCAGCATGATGGCAGTGAGGACGCCAATGATTATTTCCACGTAGGCGTCGTCGTTTTTCGTGGCTGCAACTGAAAAATAACTCATGAAAAGTTTTCAACATTGAAAGAAGATTGAAGAGTCTTTAATGGAAAATCAAGGCTTGTGTTAATAGACTGCAGAAAAAATGACTATCTTCTAGGCAGAAGAATGTTTCAAAAGGAAGGTGGCGTCTTTTATGGAGCAAAAGTGGCGCAAAAGTCGACAAACCCATTTGCATTCAAACATAATCCGGTAATGGGAAAAAAATAAATAATAATGCAAACTCTATTCTATATTCGAGTCATCAATTTCATCTGCACAATGTACGACCGGGAATAAAGATTGATGATTCTAGTGGAGGCAAAACCGTTATAATTTTGATTTAGACGGCGGCAACAAAGAGCGCGTCATTTACCCGAAAACAATGGTTCGTGTCGTTTTTGCCTCCACCCAGTTCAGCATTATACACAAGACAGGCGCTTTTTTCCCTTTTGAAATTAAATCCACTGTATTATTGTTTACATTGCTTTTATTGCCGTTTGTCTGGACTTTATTATGGAGGTTCGCTTCTGGCAGCGACAGCGCACATTAAATCACCGGGCAAACAGGTGGATTGACAACGAGCCAAATAAACTAATTGAAGTTCTTAATGGCCAGTGGACCTGAACGCTTTATTTGCCCCACATTTTAATTAGTGCCTATCAATTACCATCCCCAAGAAGCCTTATTCTTCCTTAATGGCATCAAATGCTAAATGTAAGCTCTTTTGAATCAGCCCCGGTACATCGGCAGTGTGTGACAAGAACAGACTAGTTTGCTTGGCAACCGCTACGTTTTTCTCTCTCTAGACTGAGGCTGGACGACGTCAGTTTGATTACGAGGCGATATTGAAAGGCAAAGTAATTAGAATTCGAGACTTTTAGAGAAACTTTATACTTCTTGAAAAAATCTACCCTCCATCTTATGCGTCGGTAGATTACTTACTTACGACTATAGACTTACAGGCTCACTCATGCGTGTTTAGAACCTCTTTGATATGCACCCTTAAGGTGTCCAAGTCTTTAATAAAAAATATTGTCGGTTAAAGATCGCAACCGCTCAAAAAAGCTTAAAATGAACAACAAATGTCGATTTTCCTCAACGTAACGTGACCAGCGTGTTTTTTAATGAGCTCGTGACGTTCCATGCTTGCTTGAAATGAAAATGATGTAACATTTGAGAAATTTTGAGAAACTTGATACTTTTTGAAAAAATCGACCACCACGTTTAGAAAAATTTCGATTCAAAATCAAAATTTGACATGCGCGCTTTTTCAGCTCAATCGATTGTTTCTGGTCTGAGAAGCTTTCCGATATGCATATTTTTTTGTAAGGAAAATATCGCCGGTTAAAGATCGCAACCGCTCAAAAAAGCTTAAAACGAACAAAAAATGTCGATTTTTCCGAACCTGAAGCTTTCAGCATGTTTTACAATCAGCTCGTTACATTGCTGATTTCTCGAGATAAAAGTAATTTACGATATTTTAATCAATTCAATATTTTATTAAAAATCGATCGATCTTTCGATTAAAAATAAAAAATTTATATGTCTGTTTTTTCAGCTCAATTGATTGTTTCCGGTTTTCGAAGCTGCCCGATGTGCATTTTTTCGTTCGAGTTATTCATAAGGAAAATATCGCATCCGCTCAAAAAAGCTTAAAACAAACAAAACAATGCGTGCGCTCCATTCCCCGTTTTCTTGAATTGAAAATGATGTAAAATTGGAGACATATTTTGAAAAATTCGACTATCACACTTAGATTTTTCACATTTCGGCCAAAAATAAAAATTTCACATGCGTGTTTTTGGAGCTTAATGGATTGTTTCCGCTTCTCGATATGCATCTTTTATCGCTCGAGTTTTTAGTAAGACAAATATCGTCGGTCTAAAATCGCAATCGCTCAAAAATCGCTTGAACTGAACAAAAAGTGTGGATTTTTTCGAATCTCAAGCTTGCAGCATGTTTTTCAATCTGTTCGTTGCATTGCTCGTTTCTCGAGATAAAAGTGATGCATTGTCGAGTCTTTCGTAAGGACAATATCCTCGGTTTAAACTCGCGACCGCTCAAAACTCGCTTAAATGTACCAAAAATGTCGATTTTTCCCGATCTGGAGCCTCCAACATGTTTTCCAATGACCTCGTTGCATTCCTTGTTTACTCGAGTTAAAAACGATGTAAAATTTGAGACATTTCGAGACACATGATATTTTTTGAAAAAATCGAAAAATTTCCCTTCAACATCAAAATCTAACATACGCGTTTTTTCAGCTCAATTAATTTAAAGAAAAATATCGCTAGTTAAAGATCGCAATCGCTCAAAAAAGCTTAAAGCAAATAAGACATGTCGATTTTTCCGGATCTGACGTGTCGAGCTTGTTTTTCAGTGCGCTCGTTCCATTCCCCGCTTCCTTGAAATGAAAATGATGTAAAATACGGGACATTTAAAAAAAAAATCACACTTAGAAACATTTCGGCCAAAAAATTTAAATTTCACATGCTTGTTTTTGGAGCTTAATGGATTGTTTCCGCTCCTCGATATGCATCTTCTATCGCTCGAGTCTTTAGTAAGACAAATATCGTCGATCTAAGATCGCGACCGCTCAAAACTCGCTTAAAATGAACCAAAAATGTCGATTTTTCCAAACCGTTCGTTGCATTGCTCGATTCTCGAGATAAAAGTGATGCATTGTCGAGTCTTTCGTAAGGACAATATCGTCGGTTTAAGCTCGCCACCGCTCAAAAATCGCTTAAAATGTACCAAAAATGTCGGTTTTTCCCGATCTGGAGCCTCCAACATGTTTTCCAATGACCTCGTTGCATTCCTCGTTTACTCGAGACAAAACGATGTAAAATTCAAGAGATTTTGAGAAATTTTATTTTTTTTTGCGAAAATCAACCCCCTTAGGAAAATTTCGTTCCAAATTTAAAATTTCATATGCGTGTTTTTGAAGCTCAATGGATTTTTTTCGCCCTTAAAAGGTCCTCGATATGCATATTTTTTCGCTCGAGTCTTTAATAAGAAATATATCGCCGGTCTAAAATTGCGTACGCTCAAAAATCGTTTAAAATGAACCAAAAATGTTGATTTTTCCGAACCTGAAGCTTCCAGCATGTTTGCCAATCTGTTCGTTGCATTGCTAGTTTCTCGACATGAAAGTGGTGCAATTGGGGCATATTGATGAACTTAATATTTTTGGAAAAAGTCGATCACCACACTTTGACCCACCCAAATTTGAAAAAAAAACTAAAATTTAACTCAAAAATCAAAATTTCAGATGCGTGTTTTCTGAGCTCAACGGATTATTTCCGAGGCTCCCCGATAAGCATATTTAAAGCTTCCGGTCTTTAATAAGGAAAATATCGCAGGCGAAATCGTGAGCGCAATTTTATTGATTAATTTGAAACTCACGTTTTCAAAAAACACTTTATTTCAAAATTAATACAATATTCTTTATTATGTGGATTTGAATTGTGTGTGACCGAACCGGACCTAACAATTAAACAGACCTGACCATAGACTGTCTTCAACTGAATTATCGTTTCTGCCGTGGCTACTTTTATACTTAAATCATGCTGATCATAGTAGAAACGATACTACGTCTTATTTTAATCGTTTAGTCGGCGTAAGTGGCCATATAATTGCGCTCAAAAATGGCTTGAAATTAATAAAAAATATCGAGACAAAATGCATCGGCAAAAGATAATTAAAAAAAATCGTTTTTTACCAAAGCAACCAAAAGCGTGTTTCAGAAAAGGCTGTGGCACTGTGAGCTGAAAACAATGACGGTAACAAAAACCGGAGCGCTCTATTTAGTTGGAGCGGGCGAATTAGGCGAATTAAACGGGAATTTCCAATTGACTCTAAATATCGAATGGCTCTGTGGGCAAGTTGTTCTTTTTCCATTTTCCAGCTGGAAATTGCGCTTTGTAAACTTTCATGACTTGTTTTAATAACGGTTACCAAAGCCAGTATCGGGAAACCAACTCGCAACTAAAAATCAATTTATTCACATTTCCAGTATGGCAACAACATCAAGTTTACGTTGTCTATTTAAAGGCTTCAACAGTGGCCAGTTTGGCGATTGTTCGAACCGGTTTCCTAACATTTTTCAAGCCGGTCGAGCTTATTAAGTTGGACCCGTTCATTTTCACTTTGGATTTGAATCCGAAAAGGGCAAATAAAAAGTGGGATTTGGGGTCTGGTGACAAAAGGGCGCGCACCAACTTAATGGTCCCGATCGGAATAATGCTCGAAATTAAAAACCAGAAAGGCAAAAAGTTTTTCCATTAAAATCCCACCGAAAAACCGATCGGTTAAATTGTTTTTGTTTGCTCCGCAGTTCGCGTTTAATTCCCGAACCGAACTCCCTGCTGGACAAGCACCTAATATCATCAAATTGTGGAAGATCCAGACGAGCGCCGCTTCAAAAACTGTTCTTCCCCTGTTTTCCATTAAAAAAAAACATTCTTCACCAATTCTCATTACAATTTAAATATACATTTCCGGTCGTATTTTCGATGCATTTCCTATCGATCTCGTTACATGATAGTAAATAGTGTTTAGGCTGAACGATTTCGCATCAAATCTAATGGATGTTTGCTGTTTTTAACCGTTCGTTCAATTACTCGGTTTGTGTACTGTTTTTCCACCACACCACAAGCCGGAGCCGATTTGATCGAAATCATCATTGGTTTTTCGCACGATTGTTCAAGTTGCAAACAACAGTAGCGGACACTTTTTAATTTCGTTCACCGTGTAACCATCTTGGTGTAGCCAGGACCAATAAATAGGGCCAAAATGCCGTATTCGGCCCCTCCGAAACTTCGATTTTACATATCATTAGCCCTAACCGCAGTAATATTTTACGGAAAATCGTCGAAACTCCGCCTGATACTTACTTGTTTCGAAAGTCTGGAGCATTTTATCGTCGTTCGACGTGATGATAACCTCGTTTTCTTGCAAATCTAGCGCCTCCTCTTCCGTAACGTTTGACGAAATTGCCACTGAAAACATGAAAAAATAATTATTGAATGCGGAAAATGGCCTATTTGGAGAAGATTAATTTTCAATAGGAAAACAAGGAGCGGTTGCAGATTTATTGAAAATATGACCGCCCAATAGAGCTGAATTAGTGTTGTCTATTGGCATTTGTTGTCTATGGGCAGCACACTCAAAAACCGTTAAAATTGAAATATTTTTTACATTTTTTTAAATCAATCTCATCAGCCGGAGACTAGAGTTTGATATTAGATTGGTGAAAATTTCAAATGGTTGCTTGCTTCGATTTCTTCAAACAAGCCTTCATTTTCGTTCGTTCAAAGCGTTGATTTTGTGACCGATATTTACAAAACTGGAAAAAATCAGGATTTAGAACGATTTTTGTAAACGGCTCAGCAGTTGTAGAGGCGAGTATGTGGCTAGAACTAATGCAGATTTCTAGTTGCTGCGTACCTTAGCTTCAAAGGCGCGAATTTTTGAAGTAAAGAGGGCAGTTGAGTAAAAACGTCTATATTTTGCTCTGCTCTCAAAAGCTGAAGAAATCAACATTCTAGGTAATTTTCCTTAAACCCTAAGCGGTTGTAGAACCGAGTATATTTTAGAGATAGTGAATATTTCAAGGTTCTACGGGTCTTAGTTTAAAAACTGCGATTATTCGAAGTAGAGACGCAGTTGAGTAAAAACGTCCATTTTTTGACCTGTAGTTACAAAGCTGGGAAAAATAAAGATTCTGGGCGATTTAGCTTAATCCCTAAGCGGTTGTAGAACCGAGTATGTTCTAGATATAGTGAAGATTTCAAGTTGCTACCTGTCTTCGTTTAAAAAGCGCAAATTTTTGAAGAAAAGAGTTCAATATAAACGTATATTTTGTCGCCGACAGTTACAAAGCTGGCAAAATCAAGATCCTGGGCAGTTTTAGTAAAAGGCGCAGCAGCTGGAGAGTCAAGTTTGGTTTAGAGGTAGTGAAGATTTCAAGTTGCTGCTTGTATTAATTCAGAAAGCGCGAATGTCAGAAGAAAATGGCGTAGTTGAGTAAAAACATCTATTTTTTGAGCGATATTTACGAAGCCGGAAAAAATAAAAATGCTAGGAAATTTTTGTAAAACTCGTAGAGCAAGTACGTTGTAGAGATAGTGAATATTTCAAGTTTCTATCTGCTTTAGTTTAAAAGGTGCAAATTCTTGATGTAAAGAGCGCACTTGGTTAAAAACGTCTACTTTTTGACCGATACTTACAAAGCTGAAAAAATCAAGATTCTGGGCGATCCTTGTAAAACTCTGAACAGTGATAACACCGAGTATGTCATAGAGCTAGTGAAGATTTCAAGTTCCTACTTTAATTTAATTTGTGTGAATTTGAAAAAAAAAACAGCGCAGTTAAGTAAAAACGTCTATTTTTTGACCGATATTTACGAAGCTGTAAAAAATCAAGATTCTGGGAGATTTGTGCAAAACGCGCAGCAGTTGTAAAGCCAAGTACGGTTTAGAGATAGTGAAGTTTTCAAGTTGCTGATTGCCTTAATTGAAAAGGCGCGAATTTTTGAAGAAAAGTGCACAGTAAGATAGTGCACAAAGAGTAAAAACATTTATATTTTGAGCGATATTTCCGAGGCCGAAAGAAATAAAAATTCCAGAAGATTTTTGTGAAACCCCGAATATTTGTAGAGGCCAAAAGATAATGACGATTTCAAGTTTCTACGTGCCTGAGTTTAAAAGGTGCAAATTTTTAAGGTAAACGCGCAGTTGAGTAAGAACGTCTGTTTTTTGACCGATATTTACAAAGCTGGAAAAAGGCCAGATTCTTGGACATTGCTGTAAAGCTCGTACCGTGATAAAACCGAGTGTGTTCTAGAGTTAATGAAGAAGTCAAGTTGCTAGTTGCTTAAATTTAAAAGGCGTGATTTTTTGAAGAAAACAGCGCAGTTAAGCAGTCTATTTTTTTCGCCGATATGTATGAAGCTGTGAAAAACCAAGATTCCAGGTGATTTTTGTAAAATTTGCATCAGTTGTAGGGCCAAGTCTGTTCTAGAGTGAGAGAATGTTTCAACTTGTAACTTGACTTAATTTAAAAGGCGCGAATTTTTGAAGAAATCAGCACAGTTGAGTAAAAACATACATTTTTTGATCGATATTTACGAAGCCGGAAAAAATTCCAGGAGATTTTTGTAAAACTCACAAGATTTGTAGAGCTAAGTAGCTATGTTCGAGAGATAGTGAAGAGTTTAAGTTTCTAGGTGCCTTAGCTTAAAAGGTGCGAATTAATTTTTGAAGTAAAGAGCGCAGTTGTGTAAAAACATCTATTTTGTACTGGATATTTACAAAGCTAGAAAAAATCAAGATTCTTGGCAATTTTTGTAAAACCCTGGATAGTGGTAAAACCGAGTATATTCTGGAGTTAGTCTAGAGTTTCTAGTTGCTTTAATTTAAAAGGCGTGGTTTTTTGAAGAAAACAGTGCAGTTAAGCAAAAAGTCTATGTTTTGACCGATATTTACAAAGGTGTAGAGACCAGCATGTCGAAGAGCTAGTGAAGATTGCAAGCATTGTGGTTTAGAGATAGTGAATATTTCAATTTTCTGCTTGTCTTAGTTTTGGAATTTGGAATTAGGCACCGATTTTTGAAGAAAAGGGCGATTATTTTTTTGGGCGATATTTACGGAGCCGGAAAAACCAAAATTTAGGGAGATTTTTGAAAACTCTCAACGTTTGTAGAGTTAAGTATGTTCTAGAGATAGTGACGATTTCAAGTCTCTACGGGTGTTAATTTAAAAGGTGCGAATTTTTGAAGTACAGGCGCAGTTGAGTAAAACCGTCTATTTTTCACCGATATTTACAAAGCTGAAAAAAAATCAACGTTTTGCGCGATTTTCGTGAAACTCACAGCAATGGTAGATCCAAGTATCTTCTAGAGCTAGTGAAGATTTCAAGGTGCTACTTGTCTTAGTTTAAAAGTTGCGAATTTTTGAAGTAAAGAGGGCAGTTGATTAAAGACGTATATTTTGTGACCGATAATGACAAAGCTGAAAAAATCAAGATTTTGGGAAATTTTTGTAAACCGTGTAGCAGTTGTAGAGCCAAGTATGGTTTGGAGATATTGACGATTCTAAGTTTCAACGTGCCTTAGTTTAAAAGATGCGAATTTTTGAACTGAAAGGGCACTTGAGTAAAAACGATAATTTTTCGACCGATAATACAAAGCTGGAAAAAATCAAGATTCTTAGCGATTTCTGTAAAATGATGGACAGTGGTAAAACAGAGTATGTTCTAGAGATGGCGAATATTTCAAGTTGCTACTTGCTTTAATTTAGAAGTCGCGAATTTTTGAAGAAAACAGCGCAGTTGAGAAAAAACGTCCAGTTTGAGATCGAAACTTAAACAGTTGGAAAAAGTTAGCGTTCCTGGTGATTTTGATAAAACTTTGAGCAGTTGTGGAATCGAATATCGTCTAGACGAATTGAAAGTTTCAAGTTGCTACTTGCCGTATTTTGAAAGATACGATTTTTTTAAAGAATCGGGCGCAGTTGGCTCAAAATATCCATAGAGAACATTTGCCAAACTTGCTTTTAGTTACTTACGCTATTGAAATATTTTGATTTGATCCAGTTTCATTTTCTTTAATCGTCGGGCGGTAATTTGATCCTTTGGTTGATTTCAGCGTTTGAAAATTTTCGCGCCACTTTTTCCGTGCACCAATAAACGAACGCAAACCAGTGCGCCAGCAGTGCACTGACTAAATGTGAACATGAGTGGAGTCAAACATTCAGACCGTAGAGGGGAGAAAAGTGCGCGGACGGCGAACCATCCACCAATCATATTTACTGCACACTCGCATCTTTGATGAATTGTTTTTGGATCGCATTGAAATCATTTCAAAAATTGCTTTGTAAAGTATGGGTTTTCACGAAGAGGTAGTGAATTTGGCGAGTGTGCATTTATTGAAAAAACGAAAAACTGCCGGAAAAATGCCTATAATCTGAGTGAAGTTTTCAGCTTGTAAGCAAGGAAAGGGGGCGACTTTTCAGCTAGTACAGTTGCGCTTCGGTTTTGTAAATTTCTCACAATTCCAGGTAAAACGAATGTCAAAGACTGTTCGTTTGCATTGGCAAGCGGCACACTATTCGTATCCTAACAAGTCGTTTTCGGGATGTTTCCAGTTAAAATCCCGCATACAATTAAAACGACTTGGCGTCTGCATATTTGGAAAAGCGTAAAATCTACATTTTCGCCGCCGCAAGAACTGCACCGGTGTTTAATCTGCGATGCCTTTTGGCGTTTACCTTTTGCGCCAACCGGAGCACAAACAGCGTTAAAAATAATCTGAAACATTTTCCGCTTTTCCGCCGCCAAACACCCGTTTAAAAATTATAAGAATTCGCTGCCGTTTGAAGCCGGCTTTATGAACGAGGTTAAATGGATTCGGGTTATTATTCGCCACCTCCTTTCATGCGACAGTTATTGGCTTCGCACTATTATCGATTCCTATCCAGACACGTATTTTTCGCAATTATCTCGCCTCCCGAAAGGGATGTGCCAGATACGAAAGCCCAAACCTGTGAGGACTCTTTACACTGTCGCAATTTGCAAAATTAGCCCTCGCCCTTTATTACACTCACTAAAACATTGATGCTGGAACGCGATACGGCACGTATTAGAGACACAGGCATATTTCAGCGCTCCAAACATGCATTTTTCCGGCTTTGTGCTACAAAGCATTTTATTTTAATTGCCGGATAATGTGTCGTCCTAAACAACTCCTCCTTCGCCTCCTCAACCAACGCGCGTTCCTCCACCTCTAAATCCGGATCGATATCGCGTGCAGCTCCAATTTGAACTCATAACGACCCTCCCGGCACATGGATAAAATCGTCAAAATTAGAGAAAAATACACATTTCCTTTACATGCAAAAGCCGAATTTAAATAAATCCCCAGTGTGCCAAAATGTGAAAGCATGACGCTCGATCTTATATTATACAATATCGGACTATTAAACCCGCATAGCCTTAAGGTCAGGCCATATATCATTTTGTGGGCTGCTTTTTCTCAGGAAATGGATTTATGAGGGCTTGAAATGTCACATTTATAACATATACCTTAATAGGCTCGAATTCAAACGTTGGCAACGTTTCGGTGGATGCCTTAAATCCATTTTCAGACCGAGAAACCTCAATTCCTAGGTAAACGAATCTCAACTTTAAAAATGCCGTGCGGATTCCTGCCTTTCGGCAGGAATTTAATTATGTATGCGGAAGACTCTTCAGCAGCTGCATAAGAACAAGTGGGGTTTGACTCTACACGACCAACAACTGAATTTAATAAACGACATCAAAGTCAGCAAAATGTTTCGACTACCTACTTTAAATCTCACAAGTTCCAAATAAAAGTCACATTTGTTTTGAATCCGCCCTGGTACATCGGGGGTGTGCAAAAGTATCATAGTGGTTTCCATGGCAATCGCTATGTTTTTCTCTCTCTTGACTGCAGCCGGATTACGTCAGCTTCATTACGAGGTGGGTTGGATAAATAATTCAATTGCGAGTTGAAAATTTTGCCAAGAGATAAAATTATTGAAGTTTGGCTTAAAGCGTTCGCAAAAAGTCGATGCTGCTGAGACATCATGCAATTATGCAAGTTTTCCAACAAAAACATCCAACTTTAAACTCGAATGGAGTTGCGAGTTGAAACTTTTTTCCAGTATAAACAATGGATGAGGCTTTACCCGGTTAAAATTTGAGCTAAATTGGAGTGTGGGCTGATTTTTCAGACGCACTCAATCGATGCCGCTGATACAACGAAGGAAGAAAAATTTGCAACTCCAAACTGGAAAGGAGCAGCGAGTTGAAACCTTTTTCCAGCAAAAACAATGCAAGAAGCTTAAATTGATCCGATTTTGAGTCAAATGCGAGCTCAAAGTCAAAGCTGATTTTTCATAAGGTTTCAAAGGTACGGATACGAAGGCTGAAAATCAAGCAAGTTCTCGAACACGAACAGGACGAAGTTTGCAACTCCAGATCTGAAACGAGTGGCGATTTCTCACTTTTTGCCAGCATAAACAATGCATGGACGTTTAGTCGAGCGGATTCTGAGTTAAAACCGAGGTTAAGCTGATTTTTCATAAGCTTCCAAAGGCGACGGTGCTGATACTAAGACGGAAAATCACGCTCTCGCTCGAGCTCAGTTCTCCAACAAAAATTTGCAACTTCAAATCTGAAAGGAGTAGCGGTTTCTAACTTTTTTTCTAGCATAAACAATGCATGGAGGTCAAACTGCTTTTGAGTTAAAACCGAGCTGATGCTGATTTTTCATAAACTTTCAAAGGCGATGCTGCTGGCACGAAGGCCGAAAATCACGCAAGTTCTCGAAAAAAAATTTGCAACTCCAGACCTGAAAAGAGTGGAGATTTCTAAGTTTTTGCCAGCATAAACAATGCATGGACGTTTAGTCGAGCGGATTCTGAGTTAAAACCGAGCTGAAGCTGATTTTTCATATAAGCTTCCAAAGGTGATGCTGCCGATACGCAGGCGAAAAATCACGGTCTCGCTCGAGCTCACAGTTCTCCAACGAAAATTTGCAACTTCAAATCTGTAAGGAGTAGCGGTTTCTAACTTTTTTCAGCATAAATAATGCATGGAGGTTTATTCGAGGAAATTCTGAGTTAAAACCGAGCAGATGATTTTTTTTCAAAAGCTTTTAAAGGTGATGCTGCGGACACGAAGGCTGAAAATCAAGCAAGTTCTCGAACAAAAATTTGTTACTCCAGATCTGAAAGTAATGGCGATTGCGAACTTTTTGCCAGCATAAACAGTGCGTAGACGTTTAGTTGAGCGGATTCTGAGTTGAAGCTGAAGCTGATTTTTCATAAGCTTCCAAAGATGATGCTGCTGATACGAAGGCGAAAAATCACGCTCTCGCTCGAGCTCACAGTTCTCCAACAAACATTTTCAACTTCAAATCTGAAAGGAATAGCGGTTTCTAACTTTTTCCATCATAAACAATGCATGGAGGTTGAATTCAGGTGCTTCTGAGTTAAAACCGAGCTGATGCTGATTTTTCAGAAGCTTTCAAAGTCGATGCTGCTGATGCGACGGCTGAAAATCACGCAAGTTTTCGAGCAAAAATTTTCACCTCCACACCTGAACGTAGTATCGATTTAAAACTTTTTACTTGTATTCAAACAGTGCATGACGCTTCAATTGAACCGATTTTGCGTCAAATCCAAGCTAAAAAATATTTTTTAAGAAGCTTTTAAGCCGATGCTGCTGATAGGCCGTCTGTAAATCAGGCAATTTCTTGAACAAAAATCTGCAACTGCAAACTCGAAAGGAGCAGCGGGTTGAAAGAGTTTTGCTGTCAATAAAAAATGAATGCAGCTTCAATTTGGTAGAAATTTCATAGAGATAACTAATTTAAATCAACTTTTTGATAAGATCTATAGGATCTAAAAATGCCACCTGCAAAGACTAAATCCATGGGGCGCCGCTGCTTGCGCTACCATCAACAAACCGACTTTTTCATTAAACGCAAGCTAACTAACCGAGCGAAACTAGTTTTAAAAACAATTCTCTAAAGGGCTGCGATTTGCATATTTTCGCGGTAAGTTTCCCTTAAATTCGGAAACTTGTGGCTGAAGTTGGCCGGGCGGCGCAATTTGAAAGAGAAAATATGATTTTTGTCTACGTGGTTCGTGTGGAAACGAGCGAAACTTACCAGAGTTAAAAGTGACTTCGCTCAGCATCAGCAACTGGTCAGCGAAATAGAGGTGCACTTTGATAAAGCGTCCGATACGATGATGCAGATTGATCGAGACGTTTCGGGCACTCTCCAGCACTTTGTCCTGCGGATAGGTGTAGGACAGAGTGGGGCCGTTGAAAAAGCGACCTCCGACACTGAAGAGAATCTTCGCCTTGACGAACACCTGTAGATGGAAAAGTGCAAATAGAGTCACTGGGTCAAGCTATTAATTTTGCTTAGGAATTATTTATGGCGATAAGTAGCAGGAAAGTTCGCATAGCGATGCGGAACGCTGCTTCGGTCCCTGGCGACGACTGATCGCGCTTCCCAAGCCATAAACTATTTAATTACTTCAAAGTTATTCCAAACATACAAGGAGGAAAGTTAGCCGGCGTCTCCTAGTCGAGGACTTGTGGGCTCATTGGTAAATCAAACATATTTCCAGGCTCTAAATATAATATTCCGCTACTGAGACGAGCTGTTGAAGAATAATTGCACATAGTCAAAGTGAACTTACGTAGTCACCCCAATAACGTGCTTAAATGGTAATTTTGAGGATTAAACTTTGGAAGTTGACGAAAGAAGCTACAGCTTGCAACCTTCTCCATTTTCACCCTGAAGAGTCAGATGTTGAAAGTTATTGGTCAATTTCAGTTCAAGTTTCTGCTTCAAATGGAGCCAATGTCCAAGATCAAGCTCTCTTTGAGCGGATCTTTGATGCAAAAAATGCCGGAACAGCAGAACTGAGCCTCAGTTTGCAACTTCATCAGGATTCACTTTAAGGGGCCAAATTTGATTTGACCATTCGAATACGAAGTTGTTCTTTAAAAGTCCACTAAATGCACTTCCAATCTTCTCTCGTCCATTTTGGGGGTTTTGAGAAAAGAATACGACGGAAATTGAAGAAAAAAGGAGAGTTTATCAGGATATTTTTCTAGCTTTCTTCGTTGCGTTTTAGCCGTTTGTTGAAGAAGAAGAAGAGTTTGAAACTAAAAGAAGAACCCTTTCTTTGCAAATTTCTGTCAGCCAACTGTCAGAACGTTTCGAATAAAGCTTTCTTCCTCAAATTACACAGCAAAGTACAAGGTGTCCCGTAAACTCATGATTGAAAGGGTACTGCGATATTCTTCGGACCAAAAAAAGACGATCTGACCTAACTTTTATTAACCAAAAATGTCTGGCTCCTCTGCTATTGATGGTCAAAGTTCTTCAAAAAATGTATTTTTTCGAAATATCGGGAGAATGGTACGATGTATTTTAGTGAAACTCGCTGTGAATTTCTTCTTATGTAAGACTCATATTTTGATGAAACAATCGAGTTCAGCCGTTTTGGACAAGTGGTGAATTCTTGAGTGTCGTGGTACAAAAACTACCAGAACTTTTTAGTTGATCGACAAAAATCAACTAATTTTTTTAGGTTGATGCACTAATCATTTGGTCACAATTTTGTGCTCTTTGTAAAATCTTGTAGCATTCATAGTTTTTGCGTAAAAAAAATATGTCTGTTTTCTAGACACTTAGCAATGCGTGCATTTACTGCAAATATGCGCCGTGTAAACGCAAAACCCTGAAAAATACTTTGAATATGTCGGTCATTTCTTCATTAGAAAACGTCATTTAAAACGAATTTGTGAGATTGATTGATAATTATTTTATGCCTCGTATCACAATATTTGCAGTTAATGTCTAACATTGTTAAGTAGCAAGGAAACAGAAATTTTTTTTTTCGCAAAAGCTATGAATGCTACAAGATTTTACAAAGAGTACAAAATTGTGAATAAATGATTAGTACTCCAACTTTAAAAAAATGAGTTGATTTAATCCTCCAACTAAAAAGTTCTGGTAGTTTTTGTACCACGACACTCAAGAATTCACTTGTCCAAAACGGCTAAACTCGATTGTTTCATCAAAATATGTCTTACATAAGACCAAATTTAAAGGAAGAACTTTGACCATCAATAGCAGAGGAGCCAGACATTTTTTTCTTATAAAAGTTAGGTCAGATCGTCTTCTTTTAGTCCAAAGAATATCGCAGTACCCTTTTGATCAAGAGCTTATGGGACACGCTGTATAACATTTCTTTTTCTGTTCAACATTTCTGCGTCTCATTTCGGTAGTTTTGCTAAAAGCTGCAGAAATTGGAGGAAGAAATGACCAAGTTTTACAAACTATGAGGACGGTTTACGTAAAATTCATATTTTAATTGGCCCCAAATTCCAATTTAGCAGATTTTTACGTAGGAAGCGTTTGAAACTGAATGAAGAAAATTTGCAACTCCAGGATACTTTTAGTGAAGATTTCTTTCACAAATGGCGCCCAAGTCCATTTGCAAGCTTTCTTCGTCGCAATTTAGCAGTTTTTGAGGAAGGAGCGTTTGATACACAGCATCCACATCCGAACACACGTCCCACAGCCTCCAAATCCAGACTCATTTTTGTTCGCTGTGTTTCAGCGATCCTTTGAAGAAAATTTAATGAAACTCACAGAAGAAGCTTCACGTTGCAACAAATATCGGAATAGTTTGAGTCAATCATGGACAATCAAAGTCTCAAATTTCCTTCATTGTGTTTTTCCGCTTCTGTGAGGAAATTGTCATTTTAAGATTTTTCCATCGGGCTGTATAAGTTTTTGAAGAAGCAGTTGCAACAATTGAAGATTTACCCATTCCAACTAGTCCGGCTTCAAACCCAAAGGTCCAGCTTGTTACCTGCTTGAAACTAACCTAATTTTGAGGAACCCATGCCCAAAAAGTGAAGAAACCCGCTCTAATCGAAGAAATAAAGAAGTTCACCCCGGAGGAAAACTGCAGCAATTTTATTTAAAATCGCGCTCCAACTCGTCTGGAAACAAGCTCGTGTAATTATAGCGGATAATCAGGTAGCAGTTCATAACTGCTAAAATCCAGAACACTTCACCGGCAAACTCATTTGAATAATTTAAGAAGTTTAAATACAAACATGGCTCCCATCAGGAAGTTGGCGTCGGTTTCTTATTGCAATAAATAATTTGCAAGTAAAATGAAAAGTTTGTCCTGCTGTCTGGAACAGTTGCAAGTCGCGCGATTGGCCGCTTGGTTTAGTTTTTCGTCATCGCAACTCACCTGAACATTTTTGGAGAAATAGTTGCTGGTGAACAGATGCAACGAGGAGAAGTTGCGCAACTGATCAAACTCAAACACCAACTCCAGAAAGCCGGCTTCGAATGAGTCGTTCCTCCATCCCACCCATGCATTACCTGAAAGGCTTAAGCATCCACTCAAGTTCCAGCTAATATCGCAAAAAACTCACCCCGATCGAACCCAAGATCGAAATGGAAGTTATCCAGACCGAACTCGCCGTCCACCAATCGGCCCAGACCGTTGTGCAGGACGCCTTGCGATCTGTAGCCATCGTAGCTGCTGTCGTACAGCTCCTTGATGGTGTCGCTGACCGGTGAACTGTAGGAAACAACGCCACCTGGAAAGCATCCAACAAAAGATAATCAACCAGAGTTAACTGGGGGCCATTGTTTCAAAGGCTTAGAGCCTCGGGCGACATGTTTGCGTAAATGGCGCTTATCCCCACATCAATCCCAAGGAAAGTTATTGGCATGTGCCCCCGAATAATCCCGATTTAATAGATTTGCGTGCTGCCAACAAACGGCGCCCCTGTCCTGATAATCGAACAGCCCCGATTTGATAATCCTTCAATATCACAAGGGCTATGCTTTCAATCACTTCAACGAGGCCCTTTAGCTAAGTGCCTGATGTGGAGTGTTGGGGTTGCAGTAGAAACGTTTCCCTCGAGAGAGCAGGAGGATTTTTGCATAATATGCAGTTGTACCAGTGGAATATCAATCAAAAGGTGTGAAAGTTAAGTTGAGTTGATTTAAGGAGGATTTACGGAATGTGGCAACTTTATTTTAACACCAAGCTGGTATACAGCGTTGCCAGACGAAGAACTTCGAAAGCGGTAGAATGGATAGGAAAAAAACGGTAGATTTAAAAATAAAACGGTGGATAATTTATTGTCCCTAATATTCTGTTTTTCTAATTTTTTAAGCGGTTTTTAAAGGTACCTTTGCAAAACAAATCTCATTTTGAACAAAATATTTTATTAATAGAGAGTTTTTAGGCCCCTTAAAATTACGTTGGCCTTAAAGGATAAACGTCATTCTAATCATGCGCAGTGTTGAAAAAATAAAGTGTTCAGGCAAATAACGTTAACTACGTTTTTTAGTTTTTGATACCGCGTTTGTCGCACTCTTAATAAAATAAACCTCACTTTATTGTTTTCTTATCCCGTTTTGTTTGAAAAAGTTTCAAAGCCAGTTTAAGTTTGTATTGTTATTAAACGATTTAATGAGAGGCTTAATTTTACATGACATCTTGGACCCACCTGTTGTTGCAAACCCAAGAGCTATTTTTAACTTAGAAAATATTGAGCCCGGAGATCGCCTTATCAATTTTAGGTTTCAGAAGAAACATATTCCAAACATATTAAATAAAAATTCAAAATCAAATAGTTAGTTTTTGGGTTAGAAGTTAGAACCTGTCCGTGCGATATTACTAGCGTTGCCAAAGTTCAAATTTGCCTAAACAATTTTCACATAAAATCCGTAATTACGCAATAATGGCGCAAGTTAATCAATGAAAAAGTCTTATATCGATTGAGAATACATTTTTTATTGTAATATAGCCGCTTATTTTATTAATAATATTAGAAACGATGGCTTAACAAGAAGACTAAATCGAGTGAAACCCTATGAACTAGTGCATGGAATTAATCGTTGATTCTTAACAAAGTAGAAGAAATATGCTTATATATGTACATATTAAAATAGTGACTCTCCAATGACAAATCCGAAGTTAATATCGTAGGATAACACTTTGCAAATGTACATCTAGTAGTTTAGGTTAAAGAAAAGTAGCTTATTCGTGTAAACTAGATTGCTATAACAAACTAATAAAAAAAAAATTAGAAATAAGTCGAATATTTGAACACCGCCGTTCTGCTTTTTAACGTGATGCTTTTTAACGTTACCGCTACTCGGGAGTAAATAAAGGAACACGTTAATAACGTTCCTTTATAACGTAATAGTTCTCTAATTTAGTTTATAACATAGTCCTCTAATAACGTAAACGGTTATTTCTTTACTAATACGCATGCTCAGAATAACGGATAATGTAAAACGTGTTGCAATTAAGGGGCCTAAAACCTGCCTGTTTAATAGAGCGAACGTTGTTCTATGATTTGTTAAAATTTGATTCTTTTGCGGCTGTGGACTGCATTATGAGAATTATTGAAAGTGAGTCTTGTAACCACATTTGCACCTAACTTTTTTCGCCGTTATTTAAAAAAATGCTTGCTATCAAACTAGTAGAGAGTGAACAGGGTTTTTTCGGAACTAAATAGAGAAACCTTTACTCTATGTTTCAAAATCTAATTTTTCTGCAGGTCTTAGGTGAAATTTGAGAAATACTCAAAGTGAGTTATGCAACTCACTAAACCCTACTACTAACTAAAACCCAAAAACCACTGTTGGGTGGTCTTTTAGAATTTATTGGAGCCACTATTTACTTACGTCTTACAAAAATTCCTAAAAAAACTCAAATTATACAATTTAAATATATTAATATAGTAAATAAATTTATTTTTTGAAAGTATTTAACGTAACGTTTTAACGGTAGATTCTTATGGCTTAACGGTAGGTAGCACCCACCCCGAAAACGATAGATCTACCGTTAAAACGGTACACTTGGCAAGCCTGCTGGAATATGAGACAAGCGTCTAGAAAGTGGCCGGAATTATTGCACCAAACCAATCAGATTGCGCAGTTAGCGAGCGTTTCACATAACCTGAAAATAGCCGTAATACCCAATGCACTATCTGCCTGTGTAATATTTTGATTTGAAAAAGTTGTGTTGGTTTTAAAGTTTTTAGCCGGAAGTATAGTTTGAAACGTCACATAGAAATTAAGCATCTGGAATTGAAGATAACAGATGTTTTTCCTGGAAAAAAAAGTTTCAGTGTAAATCCTGTTCAAAACAATTTAATAACAAGAAGTCGTATATTAGTCATGAACCAAAGTTTCCTAAATATATTAAAGTACATCGTTTAATAGAATGCGCTTTATGTGATTTCAATCATTATCTCAAAGATGAAATGTTACCTCACATGGAGCAAATGCACAATTTAAATATTATTCCGGAAGTAAAACACTTTAGAAGCAAAGACGAATTTTTACAATTAAAACTGAAAGAAGAATCTGAAGAAGAAATTTACGAACTCGAGTTTTTTTCATAATTAGTTTTACATTTTATTCCTGTAACACCACTTTAGAGGTATAATTATTTTAATTTACGCAAGAAAAATTGATTATGTCTAATTGTAACTGTTGTTTTTTAGACACTATTAATTTTTTGCGCTTTATACAATGTAAACCTATTTTCCTTCTTCTGTTTGAAATACCCGCCATAAATCCAGCAAGGGACCCTGATTCGTTGGAGAAAGAGAGATCCTGATTGGTTGGATGCAATAATTCCGGCCACTTTCTAGATGCTCGTGGATATGAGGTCGAAACTTATAATGGAAGCTGATGTTGGGAAGTGAGGTTAAGAAGGTTGAAAGGTTCGAAGATGAAAGTCATGTAATGATTGTGCGTATTGATATGCAGGTTCTGATGGCGGCGGTGGGCCTGAATTTAAACTCCTTTTGCCGCCTGCTCTGCTGAGCAGGGACCCGGACCGGAACCGATATGGAAACCGGAACGGAACCGTTTTTATTGGAGCGGAACCGTAACGGAACCCATATTTGATGTTGATGTGACACACTGTTAGGTGCTGAACCGGAACCGAAATATTTTATTGCGGTTTTTTCGGTTCTGCTTGTAACGTTTGAAAGAAATTACTGTACATTTTACAAGCAAATGAAAAATAATCCTTGCTGTGATATTTTTGGACCGTCGGTATAAGGTAGTTTTAGACGACAATCAAGTAGAAAGAGCAAAAGCACATTTAAAGTCGTTATGGACTAGACTGATATTCTTAAAAGAGTGCAATTGTTCTAATTCTAAATATGACTCTGACCAACACGATATGGAAACTGAATCGTCTAATTCATCAAGCGATGAAATGGAAGTCTTTTTGAGATATAAAGAATCACAGAAAATTTTTTTAAAAGGAATTAATTAGCACGAATTTTCTTCACAAGGTTCATTTGTACCCCTTAACAAAATTGAAAATATTTTAAATTCCTATAAAGTGGAAAAAGCCTCATACGCTTAAGGAAAAATGAAACGAAAAAAAAAAAAAATATTTCTGGAAGAAAAAGAAGAGCTTAATCCCGAGTTATACATGCTTGCTCAAGTATTATTAAGCGTACCGGCAACTCAAGTTAGTGTTGAGAGGTTATTCTCAGGACTCAAATTTTTGTTGCCGCTTTCGAGGTCAAATATTAAAGAAACATTTTTAGAGGAACAATTATTTGTGAGGACCAACTGACTTTTCAATCGAAAAGAACAAACACCGTACGTTTATACACTATTTTTTTAATTCTTTTTTAAGTTGAATTAATTTAGTTTTTCGTTAACCAACAAAGAAACATTTGAAATTGAAATGTTGGACAAAAGCAACTCCTCAAAAGATGGTGAAGACATGAACCAGGAAGAGCAATGTTTAAAGGGAAATTAGAGGAATTGACGAAGTTGTGGACCTGAGTGGAAACGGAAAGAAGAGAAAAGCGCTAAAGTCAGAAAATTTATTGACAGATTACTTTTCAAAAATACGATTAAACAAATTTTTCCATGGGAGTCTTTATTGCAATGTTGTTCCATTTAATGTTACCTGAATTTCAATCCTTGTGTGGGGTTGCTAGTCCTCCTACACTCCTACCCCCTRCCATACAACCAGCCGAAGTACCATATAAAGCAGTGGATAGTTTGCGCATCTTTTATCTTGTATAATACAACAAGCAAGGAAAAAAAGTGAGATTCCTAATTAGAGTATCTTTGTCCTCGTTCGTTGTTATATATAGATTTTGGAACCGAAAAAAAACCGGAACCGGAACGAATCCGAATTGAAAATTATTTTCTAAACCGGAACCGTAACGGAACCGAAATTTTAAAGTTTGCCTTGGACAGAAACCGGAACGGAACAGTTATTTCGCTTCGGTCCGGGCCCCTGCTGCTGAGAACATACTTCTTCTTTGTTGATTACACATGATGCGAAATTTCTGATTTGCTTTTTTGCGTGTATTTTACACTCTCCCTAAACAACACTGACCAACTGAAGGCAAATTGAGCCGAGTGAACCGCACCAAAGGCGCGTATTTTCCGGCGTTTCTTGCCTCCTCGCCCCCACTTGTACAGTCATTTGTTTACTTCTAGAGCCGCTCTAATAATTCCCAACTGGCAAAAGCACAACTCTTCTGAAAAATGAATGGAATTACATTTGCAAAATGGCCTCACGTTTGCTACT